GTTTGAAGTCGGGGTTTGCGCTCAGCCGCGAGTTAATGTCGGAGGAGACGGACCTAGAGTAGCTTGACGGGAAAACGTTCTCTGGTGTGGTCTGGCGCGTGGGGGAACTATCGAGAGCGCTTATGCGGCGGTCCATGTCGGTCCGGGTTCGCGGGTGAAGCCATCTTGGCTCCTTGTCTAGTATCGAGTTGAGTTTTTTGTTGGCGGAGTCCTTTCTGCACCTGTCTGTCAGCAATCATGGTCAATCGCAGTTGCGCCTGTCGTCAGCAAGAGTCTTGGCGTACCCTGGGCAGTCCTTGTTTCCGGGGGTCGATTTATGGACGACCTCGACGATCTTCTTGAGAGGCAATGTGGTGTAGACGTAGAGCCTAGCCAATCTACGCTCAGAAGAATCGTTCCATAGGGAAGGACGGCCAGTTTGGGTGGCGTGCGAGCTGGAAGGTGAAGCTGACATTGCGTTCAAAGTAATGGCCGGCCGCCACAGCCTTGCCACGTTTGGTGATGGGGAGCGTGTAAGTAAGGGGAAAGAAGGGTATCAAAGTATATGAAGAGAAAGACTTGTTACAAGCCAAGAGCTGGACAGAAAATTGAAAAGAATGACTTGTTATGGGAGAAGAGACATGATGGGCAACGAAGAGTATTGGAGCAGACTGCGGTCATCAGAAATGAGGGGGATGACCAGGCTATCAATGAGCTGAAGGATATTATGTGTGGTGCATGCCACCGGCGCGAGAGACGAGGGATGGACAATCCATGGCGAGAGACATAGAATCCGGCACGAAACAGGGGTCAGAATAAACGGCTAAGACCAAAGAAGCGCGGGAGCCTGATAAGACTGGCCCCCTTCCGACGGCCGGGGCTGGAAACCAAGTAGCACAGCAAGAGTTGGCAGCCTAGAAGAAAATGAGGTCTTCGAGGTGGCCAGGCGGGGCCAATGGGCGTGAAATGGAAGAATGGAGGTGGTGCACCCGCCAGCAGGCTGGGGCTGCAGGGTGCTGTGGCTCAGCCGCTATGTGCCCAGGGGCCAGTCGGGCTCGAGTCAACTATACGGGCATTATCAGAGAAGTGGTATATGTTTGTGTGAGTGAGTGAGTGAGTGCGTGAGTGCGTGCGTGAGTGAGTGAGTGAGTGAGTGATTTGGCTGAGGGTCTCCAAGAACGACCATCATACCAGCATCCAAGATGAGGATGATGGAGGATTTCCAGACGGATACTGATTGTCTGTGCGTTTGCATGTTGGTTTAGGCACCAGGGTTATGTTGTCTAGGATTGTTCAGCTGGAGGTACTTTGGAGTAAGCCTGTAAGCGCCCTAGGAGTCGACAGTCCATCCCCCTGTCACCCGCGGCATCAGCGGCTGCAACGGTTGTGTGAGCAGTCGTGGTGCGCTCGAGAGACGGGAATGACTTCACCTTCGTCTGCGGAACCGCGAGATCGCGAACAGGACATGGGAGGAGCGCTCCAACCAGACAGAACAAGCCGCAGCATGCCCATCTGCAGCAAGAACATGGGATCGAGGAACTGCCCCGTCAGGCAGAGTTGAAGGGGAAACTCAGTGTGGCGCAGCTTGGGGGCGGCCATGGGAGGCCCTCGTGCCCTTCACGCAAGCGTTCGGGGGGAATGACGTGCTGAGAAATGCACGCAAGGGCCTTCCGCTCTCTTACCCTGGCCATTGCATGTAGTTGCTGAGTCTCTACGTCTGTCTTGTTCTTCACTTCGGTCCACCCCTGGACAAGAGCCCAATAACCCAACCCAGACCGTTTGCAACATTTTCTCGTCGAGAAATAAAACTTTATTTTTTTTTCTATTTTATTTTTTATTTTTTCCACCGCAGACCATGATATCATTTGGAGCGACTAGACCGTTACACTTGGTGTGACTCTCTACCCCGCTGTGCTCCGCCGCAAAAGCCACAAACATGCAAAACTACAAGCGGCGGGCGCCTCGACGGCTTAGCCACCACTACAACGAACTCGTAGCTTGTTGACCTTTGCTCCATCTCCATGGACAATCTTACGCCCACTCACTCCCCTAGGCGGGAACCGTCTGTTCTCCCTGAACAACATTCATTGGCAGGGAACACATCCATGAGACCATGATAGTAGGTACTCAGCGAAACCCACGACGTCGCCCACTTAAGCCCATGGCCTTCACCGAGCGGTTTGTGAGTCTAACCCGTTCTCTGACCGGTACCTGGCTCCCTGCCAGTTGATGAACTTGCGATCCAAGAGTGTGCCGGACTCCCGTCGTCCACAGCCATCGCCAATCCCGTTCTGTTCCGTCTTCTAGCCTGGTTCTTCCGGGCGTCCATCCCCGACGGCCGTGTTCATTCTCGTTGCGATTCTTTCCATCTCGCTGCACCGCGCCACGTCACCTGTCCTCCCGGCCGCCAACCTCCGCCCTCACTAGCCCGCGCTCTCGCCCACCCGCTCCTCTACGGGCGGAGGCCGGTTGTTCAAGCCTCTCGGAAGCTGCTCTAGATCCATGCGAGTGGCAAAAACTTCTTGGCGATGCGACGGGAACCTGCAGGAAGTTTTGTCCAAGCTCTCCACGCGTGCCGTCCCAGCCGTTTAGAACCGGGGATCCCTTACGATTTTTCCAATTGCCTTTTGTCCTTATTCCGACTTCACTGCCTCCCGCTCCTTGGTTTCGCTTGTCGGTGACCAAACCCCATGCCCTGACGCTTGCAGGGAGGCCGCTGGCTGCTAGTCCAATATTTACCGGTTCCTAATTCGATGCTCTCATGATGATGCTGTTCGTCAAGTGACCCAGAACCTGAATTACTTCGTTCCATCCGTCTCGTCACCATGTGCCAGCGCGCCATGCAGCACCTCGACTTTTTACTATTCCTAAATGTGTCACATCCATTCCATGTTTTCTCAACAACGCCCCCCATGCCTCTCAAATGTAAACCGCTCACATTGATATTGTGCTTCAATCCCAAAGTCGATCAATGATGATGTGTCTTCTTCCAGTTACATACGCTTCTTTTGCTGGCTCTTCAACCGGTAGTGCGATTACCACCCGTCTCTGTTCGAGCCGAGTCGACTGCTCAACTCATATATGTACGTATATAGGTATCGCTGTGTTGGTTGTCGATGAACGCCAGACCAAACCAGCGCAAGCCATTTCCTTGACCTTGACAGCCAACCGTTCGTGCATCTTCGGCCTCTCCAACGTCCTTCAAGATCCCCCCCGGAAGCAATACAAGACAACATGTCTGGATCTAGCTACAAGCGTCCCACATCAAGGTACGCGGGCTACTTCTCTACTTCTCCTCTTACCCCGTACCCTTCCCCGCCCTAACACATCCCAGCTACCCCCAGTCGGGCTACAGCGGTTCTGCAAACACCACTGGCCGACCGCGTGACACCCCTACCTACCAGGCACCTTACACCACATACCTAAGCACGTCAGACCCGATGGAGAGATTTTGGGTCACTGGCCAGGGGTCACATAGGACACGCCATGCAGCCAACGAACTTGCCAAGTTCAACCAACAATGGAGCTCTGCCAGGCGTTGACGAATGGGCAGAGCAAGGAAAGTCTCTCACGCAACCTCGGCACTGTATACATAATTCCCTTTTTGTATCATTAGTTAGTTAGTTGATACCCGAGTAAACAAGAAAGCACAATTCAGCCATATATCGCCATCTCGCAAACATGCTCTCCACCAGACACCCACTCCTGGAAACCATCGGCCCTCACCTCTCACGATCTTGGAATCTATGGCATCGTCGCCGACCAAACACACGCACAGACCTTCGGACGAGTAAATAACAAAGCGATCAAATGCGATGCTGTTATGACTCCACCACATGGACTTAAGCAAGAGATGTCTTGATTGACAGTCGGACGTCTCAGGCATTCTCGACTCAACCGGCCTCCATCGTCCTCAATCTCTATGGTCCGGTTGGCTCAGGTCCCCAAATGGGACGTGCGCTCTAGGCCTCCTACCCCGCTCCTGGCAGAAGACGGACGAGGTTGCCGAGGAAGCCAAGTCAACTTTGGTTCAATAGTAAGTCGTAGGAACTGGTGGTCAAGAACAGTTGGAGGCGGCACGGAGCGTGACATAATGCTCCTCCAGTCTGAGTGTAGACCGCATAAACTTATTCGCAATCGTTGGCATCTCAGACTTTCCACAAGGTCCAAAGCTGATGTTTGATAACTAGCCCGCCTGTCATCTGAGGATCATACCAGTATGAGACGGTATATGGTGCGGGTAGCTCGCAGTCGTAACTAGTACGGGTAGACTTATAGACTTATGGTATCCCCATCTGTGCGTCTAGCTTTAGAGTCGATCTACTAATCAGTTTTGAGGAACGGCAACGCTGGCTGATAGCTATTATAAACGGCTCGTCGATAGCATCACGTCAACGGCGAACTGAAACCACAACCCATGGACTGCCGGGACGCTGTCTATCTTACAGGGTTCGCCTTGTATAGTTGAACGGACAAGGGGCAACAGGGGATGACAGCGTCACGTTCGGGGAGCCCAGAGTCTTGGCACAGTGACTGAAACCATCATCCGCAACAGATCTTGGGATGATGTTAATGACAAGGAACTACATCACAACGCTTCCGAGCATACCGAAGTGACAGGTTCCAGTTCTTCCCAACCAAATCTATGCTCGGATGTCGATGATTGGAACTCACACCATCCGGCCACGCTACCCACGATACCCTGGCACCGACGACCTTTGTTCCCCAGCAGGCAATTAACTTGATCCGGAGGCAGAGCTCGCGCCACGCGGCGAACAGTCAATTTTTACCCCGCCAGCGTATGAGCCGTCACCAAAACACACATCTTGACTCTGACTTCAAACGGTGTCGCTTCATGTCAACACGACGATCCCACCGTGACTGAATTCGTTCTTAAAGCCCAATTTCTAGTTTGGCGATTCCCACCGGAGACGATTTCAGGTCGAAGCCACCGCCCTCGTGTTAACGCACCGCCAACATCCACGGTACAAAGAAGCCCATTCAAATCTCAGTAGGACACCATGGCCGAAATAAGCGGGCGAAGAAAGCGCCAAGCAGAGGATGAGGGACAAGATGTCGAGATCCCCATCAAGAGAGGCCGCCTCAACGACGCCGCTCATTTCAAATGGCTCTGGTCACCACCGCGCCCATCAACCTCCCCTTCCCCACCGGGTCTGTGGTCTCAACCGGTCCCGGACGGCATGTTCCTCACCCTCCACGACCTCCCGTGCTCCTTCTCCGTGGCCCCAGAGCCCGCGCATAGCAAGCGATCCCGTCGTCGAGGCGCTATCTCATCAACATCTCCAGCCGCACCAAGTGAGCTGGACCGGCATCTAGCGCAGCAGCTTCGGCAGCAGATTTCCGTCATAGGCTTCAAGTCGGCAGCCGAGTGTCACCCCACACGGGATAAAGAAGACGACCGCAACGACGAGGACTCGGAGATCGACGTGCTAAGACGTGACCTGGAGTCCGTGCAAATCAGCGCCGCTCTGCCGTCCATCCTGGGCATTTCGATTGACCTCGACCGAAAGCTTTGTCTTGAAGCCTCTAGTCGGCCATCCGAGGATCCTAGACATGGAGGTACGTTGACCGTCACTTGAAGGGAAGCTAGACCGCCTACGACGAAAGATCGAAAGAATCATTGGCCCAGCCCGCCTGTCTACTATGTACCTGTTGCCGGCTATGACCCGTATTGTAATCGTCGATCAAACCCAACAGTGAGGGATCAGGGGCATGGTTCTCTAACAACGCCGCATAGACAACGGTTCGCCCGCAGGCCCGGATCCGGCAGCCTCCCCTTCGTCTTTAACATGCTGCCATTTGTGGAGACTTGGCAACCCCAATCCCAGCAAAGACCCAAGTCCGGGTCTTCAAGTCCCATATCGCAACGGGTACAACCTTCAGAAACACGTACGCAGCAGCGACGATGGTCTATGGACGCGGCCTCGGGCTTGAGACCAACCTCTTTTTGTTCAGGTCTTTGTATCCAACACACACCTTCTCCACCCCCTTGCCTCCCTCAGAGAGACGGCACATACGCATATACTGGGGGCTTTGCCTCACATGAACTCCACCTGCAATAGTGCATTGTGTATTATATTGAAAGAGAGTTAGGCTAAATACGTTTGGGTGGTATGACCCTTAATCAAATGGACAATTAGAATGAATGGATTGTAGAAGCGCACGAAGCGCTCCCGTCGCATCGAGGTCGCCGGTCAAGGCTAATTAATCCCATCAACCATCATTACCTGGTAGTCGGAGGCGAGCCCGGCCCAGTAAACGGCCAGTTTGCACCCTTCTTCTTGTTCGGACTTTCGACAAGGTCACCGAACGGACTCACAGTCCGCGTCCGCCTCAACCACCTCTTGCCCCCCTCCCCAAATTCGTCCGTTTCCTCATCAACCCTATCCAGCTTTTCATTCGCAGGACCCGTGGGTGCCTGTGTTGGTACCGCCGTCGACGCCGACGACGATACGGACCACCCTCGATCTCTCATTGAGGCCGGGTTAGATGGTAACCCGCTAACCCCGAAGGAGCCCTCCTTTGGCGTCGACGGGAACAAATTAAAGGCTGCTGGCTTCTTAAGAGGCGGCGGTATCGGCTTTCGCGTCACCGACGGTTCCCTTGACAACACCCCTGTGCCCCCCGTCTGCGGCGCCGTGCTGCCAATAAACGTCGTCGTTCGCGAGAAGTTGAGCGCGCCGTCGCCAAAGTTGCTTACGGCGTATCCCGTCCCGCCAGATCCAGTTGTGAGCGCTGTCTCTGGTCGCGCCGGCGACATCGGACGCTTGACATCCTGCGGGTAGCCGGCGTCCATAGCCAGACCCTTGGTGGCCACAGGCGAGTCCTGCGCGGGGTAGCTGTTCTCGCGGCGATAACTGCGTGCCGTCTGGTCTTTGCGCCTATTGCGGCGGTAGCGTGTGAAGAGGTAGAAGCATAGGACAGTCAATAGAGACGAGCCGATGATGGCTCCCACGATGGCGACTGCGGCCTGCGTAACCGACACTGCGGTACCTTGTGCTTGCTGTACCCTTGAGTCCGCATCGTTCTGTGATGGGTTAGATAGCGCTTGAGCCAGGGGAAAATAGAGAAACGTACCCGCGCGCTTTGCACCATCGCGATGGCCGACTGCGTGGCGGCGGCAATAGCACTCGCAGCGCTGGCGCTGGCACTTGACTGTATGCTGGCAATCTGCATCGACGCACTGGACGTAACACTCGCCAAGTTTTGCGCAATCTGCTGACTCGCACTTTGCCTCGCCGAGTTTTGGGCATCGGAGATGCCCTGTCGCGCGCTTGACTGAGCCTGCGCCACGGCGCTGTTTGCCGATGACGATGCCCGGCTGGCTGCATCGCTGGCTTGCCTCGCTTGGTCTTGGGCTTGCCTCGCTTGGTCTTGAGCCTGCCGTACTTGGTCCTGGGCCTGTCTCACTTGATCGCCTGCTTGCTGAATAGCTTGCTGAGCTGACTGTGACGCCGACGCAATGGCCTGCTGGGCAGAACGTGAGGCAGACGCAATGGCATCGTTGGGGTCTTGTCGACCCTTCAGGACGGAACCCCCGAAGAGGGCCGGTGGTGTAGGCACTGCCAACACGACACGTTTTTCGAGGGCAACTAGCTTGCTGATGTCCGTTGACGCCGTCGGTGGCTGTGCCCGTCCGCCCAAGACATCGATGAGCTCCTCGAATCCTGCCCTCCTTCGCTGATGTTCCACCGGTAACCTGCTGTCATCTCCATCCGCCGGTCTCACCCATCGTCCTTTTTCTTCTTTAGCTGCTGCTGCCAGAGAAAAGCAGAAAAAAAGATTAAGCAGTAATATTCGTGGGGGGCAAGCCTTCACCATGATCTAATGTCAGTCGTCGTATTATATGTGCCGGCTATGTCGTTGTAAATATATTCTCCAGGAGTGCAATAATAGCCCACCACGGTCAAGTACGGCGGATTACATAGGCGAAACGAATAAGAAAGGAAAAAAACAAAAACTAGAACTAAGGAAGATAGCTAGAGGACGACACGGTCAGGTGGATGTCGCCCATATTATGAACCACCTCGTCCTTACTGCCGGACGAGGAGCCCCTCGGCCACAGCCAGTTTGGGCATTTTGGTGGTACGCAGTATCTTCTCGATCCCCCCCTCCCCTTGCCTATAATGCCATTTTGCCAATCCTTTTGGGTTCACTGGGAGCCCGGCGACAGGGCTAGAAGGCGGCTCGCTATGACGACAACATAAGGGATGGTAGATCAACTTAGCGCGGCATCATCCCAAGTTCGAATTCGGTAAGGCGCTCAGATATTAGGGTTGTATTATGCGTATAGGGTTTCATCACGCAACTCGGAAACAGCTCCGCTGGCAGAAAAGGAAGAAAGTTCATGCCTGTCGTTGATACGTTGCGCACCCGCGGCATCAACTATCGGGTGCGTTCCGAGCTGGGTGATGTTTCAAAAGCCCATAATTGGACTGGCCCCACAACCAGGAGGCTCTGCATGGGCATACATACACGGAGAGGAAAACCAATTGGGGGATATCGTCTCGAACAGTGTCGATCCTCGAGCCGTTGGTGTCACATACTTACATCCCTGCCATTGTCACTTGACTCGGGTCCGGGGGAATGCGTCAATGTCCGGATGGCGGTGTGAATGATCAAGGACTAAACGTGAGTCGCCCACTGAGCTATTACCATGCCAAGAAATATTTCATGTCTTTATCAGGGGCCTGCTTCCCTCACAGAGGGGCAAGGGGAAGAGCAAAAAGAAGGGAAAAGAATCTGCAGGGCTAACAAGGAAGTGGTCTCTGGCTTCACGTCCCAGAAATCAACACAAGGCTTCGGAAGCCGGCAGCTTAAACAGGGGAATCCCCTCCGTGTCATCGTACGGAACTGCCGCTTGACAGCTGGCGCGCGGATGAATGTACGGATGATAGATGGAAACATATCGGAAGTGTTTGGGTAACATTCTTCGCATTGACCATCTATATACCAGTGGGTGTGCCGGTCTTCTTTCTTCTCATTCTCGGTCGTCTTGATCTGTGGACACGTTCATATCAGCAGTTCAACCAATCTCGTGCGTGACTAGCCGGCTGACGTGCTGCCCATGCGAAACTAACCATGTCTACCAACGCCAGCCATGCACCCCATCCTGATGGAGGATATCCCGTACCCTGCCAAACCACGGCCAAAGATTTGTTGTCGATGTGCGCAAAAAGAAGCTCAATATCCATTGACAGACCGGAGGACGAAAAAAAAAGAGAGATAGAAAGGTCATGGACCACTATGGGCCGCTATGAACTCTAGCATCTGACTGTAGCCTTTTGCTACATCGTCCATGACTCCTGCTCCGTGTTGCCCGTTACCCGGTGAAAATTGCTAGCTCGGGGCTGCACGAAGACATCTGCGAGAAGGGGGCCGCCTTAAACAGGCAGCTTGAACTTCTTGCCCTTCATTACCTTGGTGTAGTAGATCCAGAAGAAGTCGCTGTAAAGGATCGTCTGGATGACACCCGCGATGAGGGCAATCCAGTCGACCTTGTGGTTCACCTCGGTCAAGTAGCGGTAGATCCAATTGGGGATGTACAGGGCACGGTAGATGCCCAAGGCGAAGAGATAGTGGGTGGTGATGGTCTCAGCCTCGCCGGTGCGTTGGAGCATGAAGAGCTGGGGCAGGATGGCGACAGACTCCAGCCAAATTGAAAAGGCCCAGAGGATTTCCCAGAAAGTATAATAGTATGGGAAGAGGATGGCCAGGACGGCAGCTCCGCCGAGGAGATACTGGACACGGAAGGTGTCCTGATTCGGGTCGTTGGTGGGCTTGTAGGCAGTTGTCATCAGGTACACGATGTAGCCCTGAGAGGTAATGAAGAGGATCTTGAAAACTACGTTCCAGAGACTTGAGGTTGAGAAAAGATCTGGGAAGCGAGTGGTTAACTTTGTTTTTAAGCGGACGGGAGGGGGTTGTAGAGTGGCCATACCAAGATACCTGGTGATGTAGACCAGGAAGTAGAGAGCTTGCGATTTGAAGGAGATACCGGAACAGCTCTATAGGCAAATTAGAAAAGGCGGCTGGGTGACGGCATATTGTGCGTTGCAAAGCTCACATTCATCTGCACCATCTTGTGGAGGAGGATGCCAATACTGGCAAGGTGGGACAAGTCCCCTGCAAGGCCATCGTGTTAGCCGGCGAAGCAAGCATCGCGAAACTGCTCCAGGTGCTGATTTGGCACGTACCGGCAATACGGAAGATGTTGAGCATCTTTGCAGCGTGGGCGCGATGAAGCGCGGACTGATGGTTGGAAGGTTGGGCAACTTCAGATCGACGGGAGCTTCAAGCTGCCGGTGACAGCTGCGGGTCAGAGAGCGGTTTCGTAGTCGAGCGAGAGTGGTGCAGCAGGTCTTCTATGCTTGGCTTGCCGTCGAGAGTCGCAAGAGGCCGGGTTGCGTGGTGGTGTGTCGTGAAGAGGAATTGATGTAGGGAGGTATTGCCCAGGGAGGGAGAGCTTTGGCTGCGTTCAGTAAAGCTGGCAGCTAATGTTTTTGATTTTGATTTTCTTCACTCGGATTCCAGGAGGTCGAAAGGACACGAACGCGATTGCAAGCTCATTGGAAGCTGGGACCGACCACTCAAGCCACACTGACCAGGCCAGCTCTTGTTCCAGGTTGTAGGGGTTCGCCTCGCATTACCTAAGGAGCTGCTTGGCTTAGGTAAGGCGATATAGGTGAGACAGTCCTGCATTCGCAGGATAGGGCATCTCCACAGCGGGTAGCTGCCTTAGTCGCCAGGGACAAAACGAGCACGGGGTACTCCTGCCTTGCTGAGGTAATCTCGCCGGGCTCCCGGAGAGGCCATCGGAGGCCGGTGCTTCCAGTTGCCCCAGATGTGACGTATTACAAAGCTGCCTGCACTGACAAACTGTCGAATTGCTATCACGAGTGGCCATCTACGCCTCTAAGTCAGCTTCCTGTGCATTCCACGACGGTCCTCCAGCAACCTCATATAACCCCGCGAACGGGCGGTCAATCAACGAACGGCCTTCCGCAGCCTTTCACATACATTTCTTATTACCTAAATATCTAGAAATCCGATTAATACATTTAGTATCACGATACCGCATCGATAAGTCATTCGAACATGGCCGAACTGAACGCTGCTGAGTTCGACTTAGACTCCTCCGACGAAGCAATTACCATCACCCTCACCCACCGCAACACCCCGCACACCTTCAAGTTTCCCTCCGACGGCACAATCACTCATCTCTCCGAAGATGTCGAAGACACCCTTTCCATCCCTCCATCAAACCAAAAATTCATCGTGCCCAAGGTTGGCCTTCTGAAGCCTCCTTTCAAGGACCCGAACATGTCTCTCGTCGCCTTACAAGACAAGAAAATCATGCTCATGGGAGTCGAGGCGAAGGAAGTCGCCTCCCTCCAAGCCGCATCCGAGTTCGCTGCGAAACGAAATGCCGCCCGCAACGCCGCCCGGCGGCAAAACCGCCCTTTTCGAAGACGCGACCAGGCTCTCGCCCAGGCCGACAGCACATACACATTTCTCTCCGTCCGGCCCCTCGCTGGCTTGCCGCATCCCGAGCGCTCCCTCGCTCTTCTCGAGAGGCTGAAGGAGGACCCAGGCATCCGCGCCTCGATGCGCAAGCACAAGTTCAGCGTCGGCCTGCTGACGGAGATGGAGCCCCTGTCCAATACCCAATCCAATCATGAGGGCACTACGCGACTGCTCGGTCTGAACCGTAACGGCGGGGAGGTCATCGAGCTGAGGTTGAGGACGGATGCGCACGACGGATATCGGGACTACAAGACTATTCGCAAGACGCTATGTCACGAGCTGGCGCACAATGTCCACGGCCCACACGATAGGAACTTTTGGGATCTTTGCCACCAAATTGAGCGCGAGGTGGACGCCGCGGATTGGAAGCACGGCGGGCATACCGTTGGGCAGCAGTCGTCGTACTATGAGCCAGGGGAGGATGATGAGGAGGGATTCGAAGACCACGGGGGTTGGGAGGGGGGCGACTTTGTGGTTGGCGGCAACGCCGGCAATACCACAGGCCTCAGCCGAAGAGAGATTTTGGCCAAGGCCGCGGAGGAGAGGCTCAAGAAGATGGATATGGAGAGGCGGGACGGGGGAAAGCCTGGCCCTGGCCCGTCATCCTGAGTCCGGGGTCTGCTGAGACAGGGTTGACTTTTGTTTTGATGATATTTTGTTTTGCTGTGAATTTAGCATTGCGTGGCGTTGGTATGCATGGTAGATGTGAGATATGAATCGTCCTCAAGACGCCAGGACATGTAATGATGATCCCCCCATGACACATATTATAGTGTGCACGATTCAAGGCATTGATCACCCGATCACTTCGCAGCCCCTAATGCATACATACAGGTCGTTAAGATGCTATCGCCGTCTATTCCATCCATGCGGTTACTAGCGAACTACTAGTGTAGACACGTGAGGGGTGATGCTTTTAATGTTGTTCGGACTCCGTCTTCGTCATGTCCGCTGTGAAAAGAAAATGTGTGTGCGACCTCGTCCGAGTGCCGTCCCTGTACGGAAATCCCTGACCCTGCAACTCCAAAATACCATGCCATGCCGCATCCAAGAACGCCGCCAATCCATGTAAACGTAAGCGTGCGACGCAAAGTGCAGTCGCCCGAACTGCTACGATTCTTTTCGCCGTGGCCATCGCAACCCAAAGACATCGCTCATGCTGATCCAATTCCCAATAGTGTCGTCTGCCAACAGACCAGAATAAAAAAGAACTCGTGGTCTATTATTGAGTTTTTTGCTCGTTCGACTGCGGTACCTTGATCCACTCCTTTTGCTCAGGCTCCCATTGGTGTCTGCATCTCATGTTAGTGGCAAAGTCAAAAGGTCGAATCCGCCAATCCCCTGTGTATGGAGCCGAGCTTCAAAAGCTGCAGCGGAGATTTTTTGACTTACCCAAGCCACTCCGTGGTCACCAGACTCTTGCTGCCATATTCCTTAGTTAGGATGCGCTCGAAGCTGTAAGGAATGGTGGCGGTGACGCCCTCGAACTCGGTTTCGCGCATGGGGAAAAGGTCGGTGGTGTGGTAGCGGTGGTAGTTCTTGCAGCTCCAGACACCTGGCATGCTAGAAGGGTCGCGCTCGGCGAGGCCAGTGATGTCGATGAAGGCGCCGTTGGCCATGTTGATCCAGCGGGCATCGATGACGTTCTGGCCGTCGCCACGGTTCTTTTCTGTGCCGTGGGGGTTGACGTCGAGAAGGTAGCGCTCTTTCCAAGCATTACCGTCCTTGTCGGTCCAGTCGTAGTCGTACTCGGTGCGGTTTAGGTTCTGGCCCATCCAGTAGAGAGTCGCCATCGAGACCTGAACGTCGAGGTCGTAGTCCCATGGCATGATCTTGCCATTCCACCACCAGCCCAGCAGAGTGCCGTGTGCGAGCCAGGTCTCGACCTTGAGCTTCTTGGTGATAATCAAATAGGAGCGGATGAGGTGGCGCAGGACGATGCGGTGGTCGTCATAGCCCACAGCTTCCTTGAAGTAGCGGATATCGTAGTGTCCCAGCTCTTCGCCACAGCAGGGCTCGTGGAAGTACTTTATGTCCTGGCGCTTGACGAGAGTAGGTGATGAACCCTGGACGTTGTCTCTGGGAGGTTGTGAGGGTGCCGCAGCGATTGTGGTAGTGAGACCCAGAAGGGTGAGGGGCAGAGTCAGGCTGAGGCGCATGGCAGCAAGATGTGCCGGTGTCGATATGTTACTTTGGTTGGGTTGCAAGGATCGAAACCGAGCTCGCTTGGTTGATAGCAAAGACAGGAAAGGAATTACGTCAATTCCTCCTCCCAAGAAAACCCAAAACAGACGACTGTTCGCGGGAGGCCTCGCAATGCCAAGATTTTTTAGGTATGCAGTATGAGCCGGTTATGAGAAAAGAGGCAGTCACGAGGGCCGGAAAGGTCGACGTGGGTTGACAGAAACTAGAGGAATCGTTCCGAGTCGTTGGGTAAAAGCAAACTCAAAGAAGTAAGTATTGCTGGAACTGTAAAGAAGTATAAAAAAAAAGCCCAAAGAAGTTCGGTTATTCGCGTGAAATACTCGGGAAAATCGAAAAGCCGGTCGTGGATGTCGTGAATGTACGAGTAGCAGCAGAAAGATGATGTGAGGCGGCGGCAAGCGTGTAAGCAGACAGCGGTGGACGATGAGGATGTGATGGGAGAAAGGGTGCGTGGATGATGATAGCAGGGTCAAGAGGAAGTCTGTATAACAGGGACGTCCAAACACACGATTGCCAAGAAGCAGGAGGAGGAAGGGACAGGAAAGAAAGCCGGAGCGGACATCTGGAATGAAGTGCGGCCGGGCAGGAGGGAGATGATATGATATGCGTAGACGGAGTGTGAGGTGAGAGGCGTGCGAGAACAAGGGGTGTTGTGTGTACTACCTAAAACTAACCTAGGCGGGACTATGGGTGGTGTGCCGTGATCCCGGGAGAGAGAGTCCCGCCATGGCAAGGAATCCATCCCCACGCCAAAGATGGGAACTGCAACTAGTGTACGGAGTACGGATACGGATATCATTGACTGGTAACCCTTAGCCGTGGTGTACGAGGTTTCTCTTGCCAAGATGCTGGGGTTCGTGACTCCATTCCCTGTCGAGGGTTCCTCCAACCTCTTCCTGCTGTTCCTTTTCCGCCCCCTATTCGTCTTTGTTTTTGCAGCACAACCAGGCAAACCGGAGAACAATACCAAGAGATGGGAAGGCCGGGAAGGCGAGAACAAGTCAGAGACTGGCTGCCCATGTCTCACCCGCCAACCGCCCGGCCGCAGATAGGTAATGGGCAGTACGTACACACGGCCTACGTACCCGGGTACCCAGTAGGTAGTGAGGTAGGTACCTAGGTAGTAGGCAGGCTCTCTATCCGTAAAGCCTCCCACATTCCTTTGCAAAGCGGATGTGCGTGGCCTCCATGCGCCACGTTTAAGCGGCATACGTAATCTCGCATCAAAACAAGATAAAAAGACTCAATCAGGTGAGGGGGACGGGGGGGGCTGAAAGGAGGCCGAACTGTTGCCGGTATCCGGGGACGACGACGACGACGACGACTACTACTGGCGCGAGTGAACAGACTACCTAGAGGTGGGCCTACCGGTACTTCACTTTGGTTCCACGAAGTTTAATTAGAAACGGTGCTGGCCACCTAAGGATACTTGGGTCGGTAATAAACATGGCAAAATTCGAGAAGCGAACCTGGGGGGGCGGAACCGTCTGCATCTCGGGTGACAAACGGACACCTCAGTACGGATACAAAGGAAGAATCAGTGTCGTGTGCTCTCCTTCTGTTTCCTTGATCCCGGTCGCGCGGCATAAGCCGCTAACGGGCTTGGCATCATTTTGGGGGCCCTACCTTGGTACTGTCTGTATCCGTACTGTACTGCTACACTCGTGCCGTACCTTAGGTTCAGCGACCTCTCAGCCTGAGCATCATCAGAGCACCAAGGTCGCATTGGTGTGTGCACCCAGATCATCATGGTCTTGTCTCTATATCCGTACCGAGCAGCATGTTGGTCTGATGTGGCACTAGGTAGACAGAAAAGCAGCCGATGCAGATAAGCGTAGCTTCCATCCTCTCCAACAGGACAGTGCGCTGACTGTACCTACATCGTACATCGTACCTAGTGTACCGTAGGTATTCGCCCCCAACGACGTAACAATGGGACCTTACTTTCTCCATCAGATTGGAAGAGACCCCACTGCTCGCTCGTCCAGTCTGCCTGCTTGCCCGCCTGCCTGCCACGAATACCGGTATCGACAATTCCACCGCGGGCCCCGTATCGATGACGATCTGTCTCATTTCCTCAGCAGAGTCTTTAGTCGGTTAGAGACAACTGTTTGCCTACCTGCCTACCTACCTACCTAGGTAGAGAGTATCGTGTACTCAATTATCTCTTCTCAGCAGCACATTGGATCCTCCCAAGCCTCAAGTTCATCCGACCAGACTAGGGCAACACCACCGCTACCCACCACGACCAGACACGGACGCAATCATCATCAGATCAAACAAGTTGGGACAAAACAAAGCTGTTGCACAGTTACTCGGGCCATTTCCCAAGCCCTTGGCACCGTCTTGGGAGTCTCAGCCCGCCCCCTTAGTAGTAGGGCCCTTCATTGCTGCTCCCCTCCCCGGCCCAATGATCAGGCTCCCTCCGTCGGGGCCCCGGGCCTTGGCCTGCCTGGGCTGGCTCCACTCATCGTCGACAGGCGTACCGTTCCGCCGCTTGGCATTCAGGATTCTGTCAGACTGAGTCCGCCGGACTGCAGCCGCATCTCGTTCGATGCCTCACTGCAGCATTGCAACGTCTGAAAATGTCTCTCGCCCAGACATGCAGAGCAACGTGAGTCGCCCGGCTAATCTCACTGAGGGCCATCGACCCAGAAAAAGTCGCCAAAAAAAAAAAAAAAAAAAAAATCTTACCGTCTCGCCGTCTCGCTCTCACCAAGCCCGTTCCGTGCCATTGGCGCGACCGGGACCCATAGTGACGCGTGGCCCTCTTTCCAGGCGCCTTGCCACTTTGCCCTTTTCAGGATAACGGTTGTCTTGATGTCTCATCCGCTATTACCTGCCCGGTGCAACTGAATACCGTACACTCTTCCCCGTAGCCCGTATATTTATCCGTCTTGTATATATCTATGCATACCTAGACCACGAGCTACACATAAGGATTGGCCTCCCTTTCCACCGCAGCTGTGCCGCGTGTGGCCGCTGTTCGTGGCTCGAATGGTTACCGCTCCGCACCAGCGCCCGCGTCCCTCCCGTCGTCGACAGTCGTTGGAACCGGGAATGTCCCACTTGTCGTTGCTAGAGCTGCCACATTCCAAGCCGATATCTTCATGACCCTACCTGGCTGCTACCGGACACATGGTTGGCGGCTAGCCACAAAAGGCATTCCTAGTCCAAGGTTTCATCTCTCGTCTACCCACGGCGAGTTACTGGCCGCGCGGTGCTACCTAGCAAGGGCGAGGGACACGGCATCGTTTGCCGAAAAGGCAAGCCGCAATCAAAAGCAGTCACAGGTACGGATAGCTTGGGTATTAGTGCCCGGCGCCAATCTGCATGCATGCAAAGGGAGGCAAAGGACCTCGAAATGAAGAGGGCAGACTGGTGGTGTACGCACCTTTGTGGCTGCATACCTCGGCACCGGACCGGCCAAATAATCACGACAACAGCAACATAACGACTGCAACCAGCTACTGCCCCCATCCACCTCCTCTCCTCATGATGATGGGGAACCCTCACTCCCGTCTGACGCTGTCTTTCCGCATTTGAGTCCGGAGGCCATCACGTCTGCCCCGATGTTGAGTAGATGGTGGAGTAATGCAGATAGGCGCCATAAGATGCGAACAGAATTATCATCGAGGTCGGGATCTTGAAGGACTTTAGAGGTGAAGAAAGCGACCGATCGTTCCTGTTCGACAGCGCACAATAGCTGTCAGGCAAATGGCCGACGTTGCTGAAGGCCACAACCCGACGCAAGCCTGCCTCTTGTCCTTACGCAATTCCCAATGTCTACCCCACTGATGATGTGTACGCCGTAATGTGGACTGGGCAGGCCTCTAGTCCCCCCCCCCCCCCCCCCCCCCCTGGGAGTGCGCACCCCTCCCTCGGCGATGTTGCCACCCCGCGTCGCACCGAATTTCCCTCCTTGGCCCCGCTCGCTGCTCTGCTCTACTGTGCTCCGAACCCGCCGCGCGCCTCTCACGGCGGCCGCCTGCTCATCCGCCGCCCAAAGCCATTATCACCCCCGGCCGTCGATAAGTCCGCGATCTATCTTTCGGGGTCGTGGTAAGCTCTTACGGAGGGGCCGGTTAGTGTTTGGATGCTGGATCTTGGGCCTTGTACTTATGCATGTCTATCAGAGCCCAATATTAGATCCAGACCGGGATAACGCGCTGGCTAAAGTGTTCCGTCACCTTGGATTTTCACTGACAAACATAGTGACTGTTTGTAATGATACACAGACTCCAGGCAAACTTAAACCATGGTGCCTGCTCCGATTACGCTGGCGCTATCTGAAGACAGATTAAGACAACGCAATGCAATGCCGCCTGCCTAACTTGCATGGGCCTCAAAACAGCAGCTTAGCTCATAAGCTCATGTTAAACACGATCTTTGGCTTCGTATACTTCAGTAGCGACGCGCCATTCGATATAACGACTTACAAGACCCCTTTGAAACCCTTCGGCCCACAACACTCTTGGATGGATAAATTATGAGGCATCTGGTCCTTTGGGACCAGCTTGAGCTAGCAAATGGCTTTGCTAAACAACAAAACAATGCTACGCCCTGGTCCGTTTAATTTTCACCCATGTCCACAACCCGTTCGATCTTCCCCATCTTAATTTGGCCTCGTGGCTAATCATGCAGTTGATGGAGTCACCGATGAAGGATGCTATATATACATAGCGCCCAGAGGTAATAACAGGACGAACTCATTGTACGAAAACAAGAAATGTTCCGATGCCAGGTTTATATCCAAAAGCGAAGATCGCCCATAGCTCTCCATGATCTCTCGCTTGGCGCTCGCCTACCAGATGTTGGGTCTCATGAGAGCGGACATCTCTTAGGTCGGCCGGTATTATCCTACGGCACTCTCCAGGTTTGCAGTCACTGCGTGGTACTTGGAATGCAGACAGTCACATGTCGTCTGAGACGTGAGACGGCAGTGTAGTAGGCGATTCAACGTTAAATTTTGTGTGTATACGACTAAAGACAAGATCATAAGATGATGTGAGAGAACAGGAGACGAGTGTGAAAAACATCGTCGATCTGATTTATAGTCACCTTTTAGGCCTGCCTCATCTCATCTTCGTGACTGTGAGGTCATTAGCACTCGTTGCAACCTGCCTCGCCTATAATGGGATTTTACGGCAATGGGCTGAGCTGGTCGAGCCCCTCGGGGCTTCGCTTCCCTGAGGTCGTAGATGTAGATGGAACTTCTTGTGATTCCCTGTCCCGCTGTCCATAACACCTGCTTCTGCAAAGATGCCAAAGATGCCTAGCTCTCGAGGAATACGCCGTTGCGGTGCCAATCGGTATCTCGTGCTAGTTCTTACCACGGGCGAGCATACTTGGTGAAACGGGTACATGGGCTTAACGAAAACGATGGATTAGGGCTGCCTCTTGTCGACATAGTAACGTCTTTCTCTCAGTTACGTTGAGAGGTTGGCGACCAGAACACACATTAAAACGAAAAGCGGCCAGGTGCTGGATCAAGCGAAGCTACTGAAAGCGGTAAAGATATGCTGGTAATTATCATTGTATAATAGCCGTGGGGTTTCACACGCGTTCAACAGTTGATCCACAAGATAGTGCAATCAAACCTCCTCGCCAGGTCCAGGGAGCAGTATCGTGCCTGGTCCAAGGACACGTTGCTCACCGTTCGCTTCATTGCTAATTTGCTCTGCTCGACTGACTTTATGACTTCGCCAAGTGTCGCCTTACCTAGTCATCGTGGTAATATATCGTGATTACAGAGTGCTGTCTCAATATGCAACTCTATTTGACGTTGACAGGCGGATCAGTGTCGATATGGGCAGCGAGGGAGATGGCCGCTATCCGTAAAACGGGAATGCGGCCTATCTATTTGATTTGCAGGATTCAAACTGACACCGCCGAAAGACCAAGCCTTCCGGTGACTTGCACGCCTTCAACCAATATGAGACGACGGTGTGATTTGAATATACGGCATTCAGCCAGAAGCCGGGCGTATCTATTGGGTACGCAGGGTCGGTAACCAAACTGTGTACATTTGCCAGGCACATGTTCAGCATGAGCGGACTCCTCACACTATGGACACTTGAATACGTTGTGAATGTTGTAGATCTCCATATTGTAACGGAGGCTCCTCGAAGTAGCAATGGGCCTCGAATCGAGTGCTCTCCGCTGGCTGGCATGGCCATTGACGACCCGCCACGCAGTTCCCAAAAATCCGGGACCTTATCCCATCCGCCTCGGACGGCTGACGCAACGCAAATAAGAACGCTATGGAATGCACTCAAGAACCCGTTCTTCTCTTTGGTGTACCTTCGGCGAGGTTGCCTCCTTCCCTTCACCATTCCCACTGTGTGCTTTTCCCAAATCGCGAATATGGTCGTTACTCATAAACATTTGTCTGTCCCTTGGCACACAGCGTCCCCAGAGCACGAAATGTTATAGTCGAATATTGATATCCAGGCACTCGACGCGCCATTCTCTCCGCCCGAGGAGGCTGCGCAGCCATTCAATGCCCAGCCCTGTCCACTCCTGCCTCTGCCTCGCAAGCTCTTCGGCTGCAGCGCCGGCGAGCGCGCTGGCGGTCGAGTTGATCACTTCCACGACGGTGGCATTGAAACCGGTGTTCGGGTCGAGGTCGGGCAGCTGCGAGGAGGTGGGCGGGCGAGGCTGGAACCAATTACTGCTGAAGTCGAAGAAGCAGCGGTCTGACCAGTTACAGGAGGTAAGGAAGAGGATTAACAGAAGGAAGCTGCAATAGACGCAGGGCCGGTTGAGGAAGTATGTGCAGATGAAGAAGAGGAAGATGAAGGCGGGCGAGGCGTTGGTCGGGATGAAGAGGAGGGGGAGCCAGCTGGAATCGCCGTTAGCAGGAAGCCTGGTAAGGCAGGAGGATAGCACGGATTCGAGGGAACTTCACCTTCGGAGACAGAACATGATGGCAACGGCTGTCCTGCCCTCTGTGTTGGTGACGTAAAACGAGGCGATTATGGGAGAGCCCTGAAAGGTCGACGATTGCGGGATTGCCCAGGCGCAGTCTCCGACACGTGTCTCTGCTGTACGCCGGACACAGTGGCTGATAGATCAAGAGATGATTGTCCGCGTTCCTTTTGCTTGGGTGATTGGTTCAACGCCTCCGAGACTGCGAGCTCGGCGCGATGCGAACCCTGGGGCCGAGTGCACGTGTATTGCGGAACAATGGTGGGATCGGCGGGAAGTCGGACGGTCCCGATTGCGGTGCGATATGTTTCTTAATAACTTGGTCGCAAGCCGGACGCAAAGAACAAGAAAAAAAAAAGCAAAACACAAAACAAAATCGGTGGATCTGTTCGAGACAAATGGCCGGTTTCCTGCTAGCAATGAAGAAGACGTCAAGGAACACAATGTAGAATAGAGAGTCTGGTACGTCTGACTGGCTGGTTAGCTGGATGCGTGCATTGTGCAGTTACCTTAGATGCGCACCTCCCTGAGGTTACCTAGGGGAATCTTGAGATTGCTTACGTCAGACACTTCCTCAAAGTCTGACGCCAATTCAATTCTGCAAGCAGCACCAACAGCCAAAGCAGCATCCAGCAGGACGTGGGAAGGTGGAGGAAAAACCACCAGTGGCACGGCCCCACGTCGACACTGGGCGGCACAGACCACCTGCATCTCTCCTGCCTGTCTGCCCAAAGCACCAGTAGCGTACCGGTGATTATCCCAGCACCACAGTTGCCCCCAGGTAGCTACCTACCTAAGGCAATAGCATAATGGCATCAGCACGAGCACTCAAGTTTCTGATTGCATTACTGCGAACTACGATGTATGTCTACACGTGCCTGCCTGCACCTCGGCCTCCTCCACCCTACTACCTAGCTGTTGTCTTCGGGGCAGGAGCGTTTGTCCGCTGCTCCCCTGCGGCTATGCGACCTTTAAGGTGGCATGTGCAGTATGTACCCAAAGTATGTGCACAATAGCTAGGTAGCTACTGACCTACCTAGGTTGGTAGGGTAGGTGCCCAGGCGTCTTAGGAGCTTACCTACCTGAGGTATGTACGTGCCTGGCTACCCGAAGTACCTGCTTATGTTGACTACGATCCAGGAACATACATCCCATCATTTAGATACCTAAATAGGTATATTCTAACGGCACCATCGCTGAGGCAGCAACACCAGCAGCAGCACCAGGACCAAGCCAACTTTATTGAAGGAACCTCCAGAAGCCGCGCTAGATTGAGACTGGCCGAGGGGAAACGGGCCTGGAAATCTAAGTTTACTATCTTAGGAAGAGCAAGGAAGGGACGGATTAGAAAAGAAGAAGAAAAAAATCAATACGAAGAATATTAGAAGGAATAAACTGAAAAGCGATAGAAGAAAGAACAGTTAAAACAAAATAAAAAAATAAAGTCGCCCCCGGCTCGTTCTGGCTCCCGTCCTTCAACCACGTCACACCCCCCCTGCTCCCCTCTCTCTTCTGTGCTGCTCTGGCGCTACGGATACATCGACAGGGTTGTCTCACCTTGGGTCCTTGCGTTGGGCTCAGAAATCGTCCAGCCTCCCAAGTCATCCATTTCCGTCCCAAAATTTATTTTCGATATCCCATTCTCCGTTTGACCTTTCCCTTCTTCCCACTCCTCCCCTCCGCAACCTCTCAAAACCCCCATACTCAACACACCATCGTGTCGCGACGGAAGGGTGTCTTTGTCAATTGCCCTTCGTTTCCCTCGTCGAAACACACTCTCTCCGCATCCCTCTCCCTTGACCTCCTCTCCCTCCCCATTGACGCCACCATGGTGTCCCCAATGCCCCCGGCGCCGACGCCGCCCGGTGGCAGCATGCCTTCAAATGGTGATCGCAGCAACAATCTGCTGAATCTGCTCAAATTCAGCGGTGCTGGCGGTCAAGCTTCGCAAGCTGCCCAGGCTCGCCAGGAAGGCTACCAGCAGCACAAGCACCAGCAACAGTCGCCGCAGCCGCAGCAATCGCAGCAGCAGCACTACCAGCAGTCGCCGCATCACCAGCACCAGCAGTTGCATCAATCCCAGCAGTCGCAGCCTCAGCAGCACCACCATCATCACCAGCAGCAGCAGCAGCACCACCAACACAGCCACGAACCTTCCTCAACGATGTCTTCGTCCGTTCCGACCCAGATCATCGCACCCGCCCGCGCCCCTGCCGATCCTACCGGCCTGCTCGCCGCTCTGATGAAAGGAGCACACGATGGCGAGGAGTCGCGACAAGAGCCGCCCCAAAACGGCTCCTTCTCGACTTTCGGCGCATCGTCGCCCCCCGACGATACCCGCGCCTACCTGCTGAACCTACTGAACCGCCCGAAGCCCAGTCAGAACGACATGCTTCTGGCCGAGTCAACTCGTTCCAATGCCCCGCAGACCGGCGAGAACATCCTCCAGAGGGTCCTGGCCGAAGCTGGTCAAGCTCCCAACGTTCACGTGCCCTCCAACTCGTTCGAGTATGACCCCAGCGCCTATGGTCAGCCCAGTGGCAACTACGGCACATACTCGTTCCCTTCGACTCAGGATTCGAACCTGCATGTCGCCCAGCACCAACAGTATGGCTACAATGCCAACAGCAGCAACGGTCTCGAGGAGTCCCAGATTACCTCGCCACACGACCGCACACCCAAGTCCGGTTCCATCTCAGGTATCGCCCCACCTCAGTCTGCTGGCCAGTCGCCTGCCGGTCCGGCTTTTCAGATTCTCAAAAAGACCCACGACTCGCCGAGCTCTCATCACTCCCATCACGGTGGAGAAGCCAAGCGCATCAACAACGAGCGCAGCCCTCTCGCCAGCCCTGAGCGTGTCCGCCACAGCATTGAACACGGTTCCTCGCCCGCAGACAAGCTTGCCAACCCCACGCCTGGCTCGACCGCCTCGTACGTGAGCGCCGCCCCGTCTGCTGGCGAGAGGAACAAGGAGACGGTTTCCGAGGCAATCCACGACATTGCCCAGCAAGCCGACTACGAGGCTCAGCAAGCTCTCGCCCGCGCTGAGGAAGAGCAGTCGCGGCCGGATTACATGCAGGACCTCGAGGACATGGACTCGGCGCGGACCCAGAGGGAGTTCGAGGAGAGCGCCCACCATGCTGCCCAGGCCATCAAGAAGGAGCTCGACCGCGAGGAAAATAGGGATATCCTCGAAAAGGTTGTCTCCGCCGAGGTGGCCGAGGAGGTCCGCGAGATAATCGAGGAGGCTGCTGGTCAAGCCGTTGCCGACAGCTGGGAGAGCGCGGACCAAGATGAGATCGTGGTGATTGAGGAGGAAACTCCCTCACCCGTCAAGGTCTTCAACTTTCCCATGAAGCCTTGGATCTCGATTGCTCTGCAGGACGGCGCCACCGAGCCCCGCCCCCAGTTCCGCGATGAGGCCATCATGGACATCGCCCGTCTGAAGAAGGAGTTTGACCAGATTGACCGCAACCTCTACACCGCCACCGAGAACTACATGGCCTACGGTATGTCCAAGGCCGGTGGTCTTCGCGTCATCCGACAGGACGATGGCAAGGATGCCAAGATCTTCACCGACACCAAGGACCGCATCTTCAATGTTGCCATGTCTGTCACCCCCCCTGACCATACCAGCACCCACCGCGAGGCCATTATCGGCACGGGCATCAGCGGTACTGTTTACTGGGTCCAGATCAAGAACGGCGAGAAGGATCACATTGAGGATGCTCACCCGGAGCAGTACGGCTTCGCCCTGCCCCCCATGGCTTCGCACGAAGGTGGTGACGCCCCCGGTGGTGTCCTCAAGACTCGCGCCCGCCCCTCGACGATCCACCCAGAGTTCTTCGCTGTTGGCCGCGGCAAGTCCATCAATGTCATTTGGCCCACATTCATCATGAAACACAACCTGCTTAAGCCTGGTCACGACCGTGTCGTCGACACGGAGAAATTGGCCAAGCAATGTTCGTTGAAGATCAACACCGGTAAGGCCGGCAAAGACTTCACCTTCAGTCAGGACGATAGCGTGATAGTGTCTCTTGACAAGTCTGGACGTGTCAAGTTCTGGGACGTCCGCGACCTTACCGCTGCCAAGGAGGACAGCGACCCCCGCGGGCCAACACCTGCCCACACCTCACTCGAGATCAAGGAGCCTCTCATGACCCTGACTAGCACTCCGGAGGGTGAAAAGGCCTGGCCCACGTCCGTTCTCCTTGTCGACAAGCTTCGCCCGTATCAGAAGCGCTGTGCTCTGCGTTACATGATTATTGGCATGAAGCAGAACCACACTCTTCAGCTCTGGGATCTTGCTCTCGGCAAGCCTGTCCAGGAGTTCAACCTCCCCCACAGCAAGGAGTCTGACGCCGTCTGCAGCGTCATGTATCACCCTCCGACCGGCATGCTGATTATCGGCCACCCAACGCGCAACTCCATCTACTTCGCGCATCTGTCGGCTCCTAAGTACAACTTGAAGAGCGTATCCCAGGTGGAGTACATCCAGCGTTTGGTTGCCCAAGATGCCACCATTCCTCAACCTGACTCGACGGCTGTTATTAGCGGTGTCCGTGAGTACTCGTTCGCGAACCGAGGAATCCTGCGCAGTCTCGACATCCTTGCCAACCCGGCCATGGCCCAGGAGACTGACGAGCCCACTCTCTTCGAGCTATATGCCATGCACTCCAAGGGCGTTGCTTGCCTTTTAATCAAGCAGGCGGAGCTTGGATGGACCAAAGACAACAAGGTTTTGTCCCCGGTCGATGCCGTGGATGCTGGTGTTGTTACCATATCGAAGTTGAAGCCTCCTGTCAGCCAACCTGTCGAGCCCAGCCACCAGCATGCCGATGCTGCTCATCCCTCGTCCCGCAATGTTGCCAAGGATTCACTGCTCCAGACCACTCCTTCGCAAGACGAAAACATGCCTCGCCGTGGCCCCGAGTCTGTCACTCCGGTCAAGATCGCCAAAGCGGAGTCGAAGGACGAGGAGACACCCATTCCTGCCCCCGCCCCTGCTAAGGAAGAGAAGCAGGAGCGCAAAAGCCGCAAGAAGAAGGCAGCTGCCGCCGCCGCCGCCGCTGCCGCCGCCGCTGGCAACGACGCTCAAACCAACGGTTCCCCTCGTGTAAACCCTTCCAACAACAACTCCAAGGACGCGGGCAAGTCTTCTGCCAACAACTCCAACTCGATTACCCAGGATTCTGTCGAGGCCGCAATTAGCAGTATGGAGACTCGGTTGCAGAACGGGTTCAACAGTTTGCTCAATTCGTCCTTTAAGACGCTTCACGGCCGCATTGACGATGGTCTGCGCGCTCGCGAGGCCGACTTCGACGAACGCCAGCTTAAGCTCTTGAACATGGTATCGGAAGTCCTCAACGAGAACACACAGAAGGTGCTCGAGGCGCTCATCCAGGAGCAGTTTAGCAATGCCGTCATCCCCACAATTGCCAGTGTTGCGGGCAAGGCCGTCTCTGACCAGTTTACCAAGAGCATGAACGCCCAGGTCTCGCAGTCCGTTCAGAAGGAGATTCACAAGGCCCTCCCTTCTGCCACTCAGCATGCGCTGCAGAACGGGGACTTTGTCAAGGCCATCTCGGACAGAGTAGGGGCCACTGTCTCAGCCAACGTCCAACAAGAGGTTGTCAACACCTTGACCTCCCGCCTGGGTCCTTCGTTCACCAACATGGCGGCCCAGGCCTGCCAGCGGGTTGCCGGTGAGCTGCAAAAGCAGCACCGCGGCGAGATGGAGGCCCTCAATGCTCAGCGTCTTGCCGAGAGCAACAAGGTTGACCAGCTGTCTGCTATAGTGACTCGTCTTACTGGCACGATCTCGAGCATGGCCGCGGCGCAGGAGCAGTTCCAGAACGAGTTCCTCAAGTTTCAACAGCAAATGATCCGCGTCCAGGCACAGGCTCAGCAGCAGCATCCTCAACAGTTGTCACACCACCATGCGACCCCTTCCTACAACGCTCCTTCTGTTGTTAGCCAGGTTCCCAGCCAGGTTCCGAGCCAGCTCCCCAGCCAGTCTTACAGCAACGTCCAGAGCCCCGATCGTGCTTCGCAACACTCGATGAGCTACGGCCACTCGCAGGCCCTGACGGTTGCTAAGCCTAACACCAACGAACATGACGCTGACTTGCAGGCCCGCATTGCCGTTATCAACCAGTCAATGAGGGAGGGCCGTGCCGAAGAGGCCGTCGTCCGTTGGATGCAGTCTGGACGTGAACAGGAAGTTTTTGAAAAGTACATGTCGAAGTACAGCCCCGAGTTTGTTCGCAACCTGCCTCACCTCGTTCTCCTGACGGTGACTGCAACTGTCAGCTTGAACCTGGAATCTCACACTCGGGAAAGGATCGCGTGGCTTGAGATGGTTGTGCACAGCCTCCAGGTCTCTCTCGGCAACATGGTAAGTTGACGCGTTGCTCTATATTCACAAAGCAGGGCTAACTTTTTTCTTCTTTTTTTTTTCAGGATGAGGATGCTCGCGCGGTTACGCCAAAGATTATGGGTATGCTGGTTGCCCGTGTTGAGGGGCTCTTCGTCCGCATTAGCAGCACGTCGGGTAATGACCCGGTCCTGAAGAATCTCTCGCAGATCATCGTCAATGCAAAGCGCGTCATCGACGCTTGCCAAGACGAGCAGCAATACGCTTGAGAAATGACCTCAGATGGAGGTGGACATATTTGGCACCTCTGCCCTTTGACGACATGACGATATCAAGTACATACGACATTTCGACGCCATACACAGTGGAGGGTGGCCTTGCTCTTTGGCACTGCCGCGATGCCGAGGAGACAATATATCCTCCTGGACAGTGAGTTGCGGATGGGGCATGATAGCCCGGCGGCAGTTGATACCTTGAGTGCACATATGATTGCGTTTCCTTGGCTTTGGAGATTGGGGTTAAGCTCGTTGCGATTCGATGGGACGCGTGATACCGGACATGCAAACGGAGTAGTTTGGGCTTGGAAGGAAGCGTGAGAGGGTGGCCAAATTCCGAAGCTTTTCTCGTAATAAGGGGTACGCTTGGGTGTATGGTCGAAAGAAACGGCAAGGACAGACGCCTGAGGTTATTTGGACGACTAACCCAGGGTGTTGGTATTCTTGGGTTTGGATGGTTTCATCAGGGCACAACCTCGTCTTTAGACAGGAATATGAGACGTGACCTACAAACGTTTGTTTATGCCGCGAAGGAGGACCTTGATGTGCAAACGCGGAGCGGTTCTCCTTGACAGCAACTCATCGGAAGAGTTAGCATTAGTAGGTAGCTTCGTCACATTGAATCGTTGCGTGCGATGAAGTCACCAATCAAGTGGAGAGGAGAGGGTAGATATTACATAATCCTCTAGACTTGGTGATGTGGCCTGTGCTCCTGACAAGCAAGCATAGCCCTGCAGGGCTTGATGCCTGACAGCCTCACACCCTTCTCGGCCCGCTAATGATTGGACGAAGACTGGCGGCAAAGGCAGGACAGCTGTGCATGGAGAAAGCTCAGGCACATGCACAGGCGAGGCGACGTGGACAAACAGTGAGAGGAAGAGTGGGCACTTCCCCTAATGGGGTACGTAGGGTAACCTAGGTACCTACTTTACTGACCGGGACTGAAGCCAGAAAGTACAGCAGGAAGGCAGCAGCAGCAGATGCAGCCGTCAACTGATAACTCGTCGCGATCCAACGACGAAAATCTTACGGGCCACCTTTCATTTGCCAAGCCGTTTTGTCTTTGGCGCAAGACATCTTTTTCCGACAACGCTCTTTCTTGTTTAGTCCTGGGAAAGGGCAAGAGCAGACATCTGTAATCTCGACACGTTGTTCGTTGTTTTTCCGTCCACCGAGCCAACCTGGAGTCAATTGTGCTGGGACCCACCTGATCATAGATGCGTACCTAGCACAAAGTGTGCAGAGTGTGCAGGAGAGAGAGTACATACTCAAGTCAAAGTAGGTAAGTACCTGCTTTTGGCAGACGTCGAGGGAACGCGACAACGGGAACAAAGCTCCAATTCAATTGACCAGGGCCAGCCAACACAGCTCCGAACACCGCTTCGCTTCTTGTGCTGAACTGTCGACAACCACCTCTTCTCTCAACAACGAACACGACGACAACGATTATCGACGTCAGCTTTTCGACGAGTCGCTGCCGCCGCCGATTCTGCGATATCTTGTTCGTCTACCTAGGCAAAGACGATCAGGTAGCTCCCATCATCGACAACAAAGGCGCAATCAGCTGCACCAGCAGACCGAGTCGAGAGAAGCCAAACCCGACAGCTCGACATCACTTATCGACATCTCCTTTTCGTTGTCGTCGTCGTCGGACTCTCGCATCCCCGCCTCCCGTATCTGACCGCAGTGCTGAGCTCCTTGCCGGGGACCAGTCCCCCCTCGCGCACGTATGAGCTGGCAGGTGGCTTCGGGCATGGGGTCGAACGTTGGCAACGGCATGGGCGGGCCTGGTGGAAACGAGATGGGCGGTGCGATGCAGGGCAACGGCGGCAACCAGCCTCATGCGACTGAATACACACTGCAGGGTAGGTCTTTCAGCGCCGGTTACAATCGACATCTGTTTGCTGACTACTTCACTTCCCAGGTGTTATGCGCTTCCTCCAAACCGAATGGCACCGTCACGAGCGGGACAGGAATGCTTGGGAGATTGAGCGCCAGGAGATGAAGGCCAGGATAGCCTCCCTCGAAGGTCAGGCGAGAAGGTCCGATGCGACGCAGAAGGCCCTCAAGAAATACGTCGCCATCCTTGAGAAAAAGGTCAAGGACCAGGCTGCACAGCTCAAGGGGGGGGGCAAGGCAGGCGGCCAGACAACGAAACCAGAGAAGGATAGAGCTGCCTTGATTCAGGAGAAGCTTCATTGTGAGTACCCTACATATGTCCTCATGAATCAATCATTAACACGGTATCAACACAGCTTCCAAGAAACCTTCCGACGCCGATCCTAACGAGCTCGAGGTTGAGAAGGGCGACGACGAAGCGCAACGTGCCGACCTCAAGTCTTTCTTGGACCAGTGCCAAGCCGAGTTCACCTACCTGATGATCACGCCCGCAAACCCCTTGCCTCCCCGAGAATCACCCCCGCTCCCGATACTTGAAGATTTGCGCGAGGGTGAGCCTTTCGGCGTTCAAGGCGGCAAGGCGTTCCAGGAACCGCCCTTTTCCTTCGCATCCTCCTCTCTGGTGCCACAGAACCACGTCCGCGAAGCCAATCGGCCTCCTCCTGCTCCGAACCACGCGCCTCCGATGCAACGAAGTCAGCCGACCAGTTTTCCTGTGAAGCCAACTGAGCAGCAGCAGCAGCAACAGCAACAGCAACAACAACAACAACAGCAGCAGCAGCAGCAGCAGCAGCAGCAGCAACAACAGCAACAGCAATCTATGCCGTCCTCGAACCCTGAATCCGCGCCACCTGTCATGTATGCTGCCGGCACAGAGTGGCCTCAGCCCATGTCGGTTACTGCCCGCATGCTCGACGATAACATGCAGCAGCGTCCGACTCATACTGTGGAATCTATTAGCAGCGTGGAGCCGACAGATGAGCCCCAGCCCAGTCGCCCTGCCCCTGAGTCTGATGGATGGGATTTTCCCGAGGGAGCGTTCCCGGAATCCAACACATCGCAACCTCTGCAGCAACTCACAAACCGACCTGACACCGATGCCTTTCCAGCCGCAGACAACCTCCCCAAGTCACCCAACCGTGGACCAAGTTCTAATCGCCGCAAAGGATCAATGTCGCGAAGACGCAGCGCAGACCATGAGCTGTCGCTAAACGCGGCTACTCAGAAAGCCGAGACGGGCAACTTTAAGCTGCGGTTTGGACTGCGAGGTCACCTGGATACGGTACGGACTGTAATCTTCTCGGGCGGCGGCAGTCCTGGAGAACCCGAGATCTGCACCGCTGGCGACGATGGCATGATCAAGCGCTTTCACATTCCTCGTATCGACAGTCACGGTCAGACCAACGCCGCATCGGACCTTGACGTAACAGCCAACTTCTCTCACCGTGGCCACGCTGGGGCAGTGCTTTGCTTGACTTCTTGGTCGCCGTCTCCTAGCTTTAGCACTGGTGGCCGTGCCCAAGGCGATGGTTGGATATTCTCTGGTGGTCAGGACGCGACTATCAGGGTCTGGGAACGTGGCAGAGTTGATCCGAAAGCCACGCTCGAGGGCCACACCGACGCCGTCTGGGCATTGTGCGTGCTGCCGACCACTCTTGGCGCCGTCTTTGGCCAGAATAGTCAATATGGAGGCCCCGATCGCATCTTGCTTGTCTCCGGTGCCGCCGATGGATCCGTCCGTCTATGGGCCGTCAGCGCACCACCCCAGCTGACCTCTCCTCAACCAGGCACAAACAGAGCTGGTCCATCAGGCAGCCGGGGCCGCGTCCGTGGCAACTCGATGAGCTCGGGAAGTGCTTTCTTAAGCAACCCGCAACCCAGCATGGCATCCAACTCGCCCTTTAACCACACTTTGGTCCACAACATCAAGAGGCCCGAGGGCATCGATGCCAGCCCTACGTGCATCACCCCTCTCAGCCCTAGCGGCGGAACCTTTGTCGTCTCTTACTCGGATGCATCCATTCTCGTCTACGACACTAGGTCAGGTGAACAGATCGGGACAATGGATAGCTCGGAGACATACGATGGCTCAATCAACACAAGCGTCAACGCTGTTGTTGCGACGACTGTCGGACTGGAGCAGTCTCAAAGTGGCCTATCTGAAGAGGACAGTAGTGCTGGTGGCGGACCGACGGGCGGAGGTAGGTCCATGGCAGGGTCCGGCGTCGAAGGCGTCATCATTTCCGGACACGAGGATCGGTTCGTGCGGTTCTTTGATGCCAATAGCGGTAAGTTCAGGATGTCACTCGTCGATGGAGAAAGTGCTGATTGGTCTCTAGGGCAATGTACATACAATATGCTAGCCCACCCGGCATCGATTTCGAGCCTTTCCCTCAGTCCAGAAGGCCGCGAGCTCGTTAGCGCAGGCCACGATGCATCACTGCGGTTCTGGAGTCTCGAGAAACGGTCCTGCACGCAGGAAATTACGAGCCACCGTATCATGCGCGGCGAGGGCGTGTGCTCTGTCGTCTGGAGCCAAGACGGCAAGTGGGTTGTCAGTGGCGGCGGTGACGGCGTGGTGAAGGTCTTTGCGCGGTAGATGGGGGCATCGTGTATGTCCTCGTTGAAGAGAAGCGACGAAGAGAGCGGATATACAATAACAACGACAGCATAGCGTCTGATGAAATGGCGTCGTCTTTGGGCCATTGCTTGCTCTGGACGAACGTTCTGATAGTAACTCTAGCTTGGTTGCCGGGGCATGAGATGAAGAAAGTATTTGGTTTTATATTTATTTATTTATGTATTGGGCATAGCAGAGGTAGAGAGACGTGCCAATGCTTGGCTGTGGAGCAGTGGGCTCATTGGCCACCACCGAGAAGGAGGAAGGGGCGAGGAGGGCGAAAAACAATAGGAGGGTACGAAAAGCCGAATTGGGTGGACAGTAGATGAGCGTGGGCAGGAGTGGCCCGCCTACGTTGTGTTGTAATATTGTACCAGGGGCATCATTGTTCACTACACGTCGATACCCCCTACCACCACCTCCGCTTCGCTATTGTGCGGTTATAGCTGTTTTGAAGGGGGCTACTCGGTTTATTCGTACATAGTTTTACGCTGAAGAAGTAGACGACTGTATGAGTGGTATTGCTGTATGAACGTTCCGGGTATTGAAACTTGAAGCTGAAGGAAAAAAAAAACTCATGATGCGTCTTCCCATCCGCAAAGGGATTATTTTTCCCCCCAGAACAAACGGCTACTTGGCGTCAGAACTCCAACTCCTCCACCTCCATGCCGCAGCCGTTGCACTTCTTGACTGTCATGCCGTCTTCGTTCTCGACGGCCCGGCCCCAGTCATGAACGTGTTTCCCGCCGCCGACCGAGTCGCCAAACTTCCTCGGGCCGGACCCTGCGGCCATGGTGGCCTGCTGCCTGCGGATCGCCTCGGTGCGGGTCTTGCGCTTGAGGTCGTTGAGCTTGTCGCGGAATTTGGCATCCTTGCGGCGCTTCTTGTCGGCCTCGCGGCGGGCAAACTCCTCGTCGAGCTTCTCGGCGGACCCCCACTTCGTCGTGAAGGCGTACTCCTCGACTTGGAAGCGGAGGAAGAGCATCATGTCGTGCCAGTGGGACTTGTGCGGGTTCGGCCGTGAGAGGTGCGGCAGCAGATCGGCGTCCTTGAGCTCCTCGTCCGTGAGGAGGTAGTCCTCCCTGCACTCCGTCTTGGTCAGGAGGGAGTACTTTTCCGGGTGCTTGTCCTTGCAGGCGTGGCAGACCTGCGCGCCAAACACCTCGTCCCAGACGAAGTCGATCTCGTACGAGCCGCAGTCCTTGCACTTCTTCCGGGCGGCGTCGTCGGCGAGCACGCTGAGGCCGGGCTCGAAGGGCCCCGCTTTCTGGCGGCGGAGCTTGCGGAAGAGCTGGAGGCGCTCCCACTCCTGGGTGGACATGCCCTTGGGCTTCTCCTCCTGCGCCGGCCCGCCGCCGGGTTTCTGCCTCGGCACAAGGGCCGTATTGTGCGGGTCATCCTCGGCCGTGAGGAAGCCGCCCTTGGTGTCAGTCATGGCCGACATGTTGTAGTCGACGAACTTTGCAAAGTTGCGCGCCGGACGCGGCACGGCGTTGGTGTCGCGCGCATCGCGGTTCGTCGTCGGGTGCTGCGGCAGCGGCGGCTGCGAGCCCGTGCCGGAGCCAGCGGTCGAGATGGACGAGTGCGGGCGCTTGCGCGGGGCGTCTGCTGCCGAGCGCGATGCGCCGGCGCCGGCCGTTGTGATGTGGACGTCGGGGGTCGCGACGAAGCCCGAGGCTGTTTTCAAGGCGGAGGGGGCGCCGGAAGCGGCGAGCTCGGCGTCGCGACGGTCGCGGAGTGCTTTGGCACGGAGGCGGGACTCTTCCTGAGCGAATGTTAGAGAAATGCGAGGCAAGGGACTGGGACGTAGAATGTCGAAGTGGCTCACCATGCGACGGGTTGCTGCTGGCGTAGGAGGCGTCGCGGCGGGCGGCGGGGCGGCTGCCGGGTTCGGCGGTGGTGTTGATGGACGAACCATGGCTGGCTGTTGCAAAGGTTTGGATGCCAAACCGGGGCTTATCTTGGACGTTGTTACGCACTACGGAAGGGATTGTCGCTCGGAGGATGTAATGCAAGTGTGAGGCGTGAATGAGCGCGGAGGGGCAACTTTTCGAGGAACGATTATGTCACCAGTTAGTCGCGAATGCACGTGCTTTTTTGGCACTGACCAGGCCACACCGAGAAAGTGAGGGACGGGTCTGGCAATGCGGGAGCGGCGAAGCTACCAGGAACACACATGGGGGCCAATGGAGCCCGCGGCACAATGTGGAACTAGCGGCACAATGAGAGATTGAGAAGGCGAGAGAGAGATTAGCGGGCAACGGACAGCAGGAGTGAAGATTAATGAGCTGTATCTTTGGGCGAGCTAAGCATCTACGCGGTGGTTGCCACCCCATCCTGAGACTAGCCGCGTGCATGTGCGTCGCATCAGATGTGTTACTTTGTTGCAACCAACTGCGTGAGCACGCGCTTTGGGGCATCCGATATAACCAATGGCCTGTTTTGTTGTCGTCCCCTCACATACCCGAGAGAGAAGAGAGATAGATGCCCGTTTACTCCTCCTTGGCACCGCCACGGCCGGCGCGCTCGGCAGCCTCGATGGCCTTCTTGTCGCTCTGGGCTGGGCCGCTTTGGAGACCCTGCATGAAGCCGGCGGGGGCAGCGAAGGGGCGCTTCAGGTCGCCCGAGGCGGGCTTACCAAAGACGTGGATCTTGACGATGTTGCTCTCGAGGGCGCTCTTGAGGGGGATAATGGACTGGATGAGGAGAGGGTTGGTGTACTTCATGTAGAGATGCATGAAGCCCATCATGGCGATACCCATGGCCTGGGAGCGGAAGGCCTGGCGGAGCTGGGTCGAGTCGTAGGCGTGGATCGTGGTCGTGACGAGCTTGCCCTCCTCCGAGGAGCCCATCGGCGCCGGCTCAACGTACTTGAGGGTGGTCATATCTGCGTTTTGCACTGTCAGTTGTCTGTCCGTACACGCTGTACTGTCCTCATGAACTGTGGCGTCTTTGGTCTGCACGCACCCTTCTTCTTGTTGATCTGCGCCTGGACGTAGAGGTAGATGATGGCGATGATGATGTTGCTGGCAATGTAGCCGGCGCGGCACAGGTTCAGGACGTTGGGGTCATCGAAGGGGACCTTGCGCGAGACCTGCACCATGCCGAGCATGATGATCAGGTTGGTGCTACGGCCATTGTCAGCGCTGGACGTTCGTACAAGAGTTATTGGGAATGGTGGCGGCGGCAGCATGCGCACGCAGAGATTGCAGTGCATTGCGGCGTCGCCGCCGGGACGAGGAGCGCGACGTACATCTGAGGGCTGACCATTTTGGCGGTTGTCTTGAAGAACGGTTGAAATTAGGATTGACAAGGAAAATAAGACCCGAGGGACCTCTGCGGATGCGAACGAGGTTGAGTTACACGAAGGGAAGCGGAAAGGGGGGAAGATAGAAGAAGGCTGGCAGGAGGAGGAGGAGGAGGAGGATGTAGAGGCGAAGACGGCGCGGCGTTGAGTTTTGGCGAGTTTTTGTATGGTTTAGCGCATGAGGGTCAGTGTCGCTGGGCGGAGAGGGTGAGGTGGTCGAAACGGCGTCCGGGCTTGGGTGGGTTTAGGCGGAGGTGGGCCATCAGTGGGTAAAACTGTACTGTAGGTAGTCTGTAGCCTGGGTCGCAGGCGCTGAAAGGGGGACCCTGGGTGGCCCGATTCGGGGTCCAGCGGGATGGCGAATTGCGAAATGTCATAATTTTTTTTTTCTCGCTCCATTTTTCTCTCTCTTCCCCCCATCGAATCGGGTTAAAGGTGTACTTTTGGGTTTCTTCTGTAGACTTCCGCTGCCGTCCATACCGGAACACACTGAAAGGGGTGTATGGGTAACATGCGTAACGCCGAGGGAGCCTTGAACCTACCTGTCTGGTGTGTTTGCTGTTCTGTCCTAGGTCCTACATCCTCTGACCTAATGCAAGCCTGGTCGGTCTCTCTTTGGGCACTCTGCTATGGCCCTCTAGTTCTGCAGCTCTGCGACTCTGACGCAGCAATGCATACCTAGCTAGTATCACACGTCTTAGAGCTGTCTATGGCAAGCTAATGTACCCAGAACTGAGACGCAAGATGCACCAAGCAAAGTCCTTGGTTCCCCTGTTGGAAACTGTCATAAGGACACGTTCGTGCATTGCAACGTGGGGTTTCCTGTTGGTTGGCACCCCACCACCTGCCTAATCCAGACAGCTCCCCTTTTGCCTCACCTTACAGCTGAGATTTGGTAATGCAACTCTGACTACCAAACGGTGGATGTTGAGATACTGATGAATGGCAGTGGCTGCCTACCATTTATCTTCCTCATTTTGCTTACACAAGGATAGCTCAGAACCACTGGTGAGTGCAAAAGACATGGCGGTCTCGGAATGCTTCAAAGACAGTTGTCTTGTTATATTTTGTCTATGTACACCGGGGAACAAACCGCCCACGACAATATCCACAAAGAGAATTTTACCAACCAATACACCAATGGTCTCAAGCAAACGTCTTGAGGATCGGGAGGTATGTTGCGTAAGCCTTTCCAGTGGCTGGCTCCATGCTATAAATGTAGTCTGCCCACCATGGGCCCGCTGCCCACCAGACTACTCTATCAACTCGTTAGCCCTCCCCGTAAACCACCAAAACGATATCGGGCATCTCGACTCACCCTTTCCACTGCTCTGAATTGTCGGCGAGGTGCTTCAAGGCGCCCTTGACGGCCTCCTGGCACTGCGTGTTGGCACCAGCCCCAATCTCCCCGATGACACCCTGCTTGTTGTTGTCCTTGAGCCATTTGGTGGCGATGGCAAGACGCTCGGCGCCGACGGTGCTGCTGACACAAGCCTCGTTGGTGCCCGAACCGTCCGAGTCAAGGTACTGGTGCATTTCGTAGTAGAGGAGCTTGCCGCTAGCGTCAGTAGGGTCACTAAGATTCTTGAGCGCATCGCCGGTGCCGCTCTCAATCTACAGACGGTCAGTACCACGTATGGCTTGTAAACGGGGAGGAGGAAGGGCTCTAGGAATCAGCATACCCAGTGCCAGGCACCCGAGTAAGCGTTGCCCTCGATCCAAATCATCTGCTTCGTCGCGCCTGCAGCACGGATGTTGTCAATGGCGGCCTGGTTGAGATCCCTGACCAGCGAGTTGTCCATGTCGTGGTACTCATTGTTGGTGTCGAAGATGACCTTATCGTTGTTCTTGAAACGAGCGGCAACCGTCTTCCACCAGGCGCCAAAGTCGGTGGGGCTGGTAATGATGTTGCCGTAGTATCGGCCGTAGTTGTGAGGATCGAAGATGGCATATGATCCCTTGGAAGTCACGTCGTTGATGACCTACATGCGTGTTAGTACCAGCCCATCTCTTGTTTTGCCAGAGAGGCTGCAACACGTGCATCTTCAACACCGGAGAAGTAGTCCTCATTGATCTTGCCCGTCAACTGATCAGGGGTGATTCTCTCCATCATCGTTCCGATGCGAAAGGTGTTGAGCCCCTGGGATCTCAGGATCTTATAATTCAACTTAGCACATGCCGCGACTTCACACCAACACACACCATCACTTACATCAATGGCCGTCTTGTTGGGCCATGTATAGTCCTTTCCCAGCTGTCCCGGCAGAGTCTTCTGGCCAAACTCGCCTCCACTCTCGTTTGCGCCTACAAACTCGAGCCTTCCAGCGCGTTTCTCCTTGGCCCCGTCCATGGGGGCTGCCAGGACCGAGACAACGGACGCGATTCCGAGACTAATGCCGGAAGACTTCATGATTTTCATCGACCAAAAGGGAAAAGGTTAAGCTTAAAAAGAAAGAAAAGACGATAAAGGGATCTGATGTCATTGCCACCGAAGACAGACGAATTCTACGATGACGCCGAGGCATGGCGGCTTTATGTTCCTTTGACGACCCTCCTCCCTCGCCTCCCCCTCTCGTCCGATCTAGAGCGCAGCGGTAGAGGAGAGCATGGTTCATGGTTGAAGGCTGAACTATGGAAGGCGGGAAAATTGGCCACTCTCTAGCCAGTGTAATGGGTCTCTATGTTCCGTCCCGTCTGTCAAAACAACACATTACACAGGTTGTGGGCAACGACTGAACGTAATCAGCTAAGGGAACATGTTCCGTAAGGCCGTCCAAGCTTGTTAAAGCTCCATAGAACGTAAGGTAATGTGGGCATGCGAAGGCCTTTCTAGCCAAACTTGCTTAAAAAGTTGGCATAGATGACGTGCCGTATGGGGCTGCCCCAAGTCTAGGAGGAGAACAAGCATGAATACCTGGAAATGCGGACGTCTCCTTTCAACCTTGTATACGTGGATCATCATGACGCGGCACCGAGTGTCGATGTACGCGGCTACTTTGCACCGTGGCATCGTCGTTTGTCATCCCCGGTCCAGTCTTCCCGCGGGTGAAGCTGGTCTGCTAACGGTATCATCACACGAGGGATTTTGGGAATCGGAGGATAGCACATCCGGAAACTTGAGCTTATTTACGCGGGTAAAGAGTGCCGGCATAAAGTGTCAGGGGGAAAACAACTTTCTGGTTTTATATATTGGACGAATAGTCATCTATAAGAAACACCAACCTTTTTGCGGCGGCACGATCAGGGTGGGGTTTAAAGTTGGCGATTTCAAGTCGCGGGGGAACTCCTTCCGCGTGGTAACTGGGGTTTTTTAACCCCACAATGATCATCGCAATGGGGCTCGCGGAGAACAGATGAGGGTCTAGACCGAGCCATGGACGCGGGGTGAGGGCGCGAAAGAGGTAGATGGACCCTAAACGATTGAAATATGGTCTAGAAAGAAGAATCAAAGAAACATGATCTCGGTGATATCATTCGATAAACGTGGTATCACTCGGACGAACTGTTGAGGACATCTGAGAATCCAAGGGCAAGCGGGTATTTTCAGGCTAACATTAAAGATTGCTTTCAGGCAGGGACTCCTGGAGCTGCGACAAACCTTGGACAGAATCATCTCATCACAGCTGCTGGTTGGAGCTTGCCGTTGCTCCGACTCAGTGCAGGCTGACCTAGCAACATGCGGCTGGTGGGCAGATTCGGAATTGTGGCTCGTTCTGCGACGTGACAACAGAATTTAACAACTTTCAATTAATGGGTGTTGCTTGCAAATTGATCCGAACAAGAGTGTCCGTTTTAGTTGTTCACCGCCTCAAGTCCTCCATAGGTTTGAAGCATCACTAATCGGCGAGTGGATCCGTCGTTGGCTCGCCGAAAATTAACGGAAAGTCGGCTCCGCACGGAGCACCGAAGCATCACGTGACACGGACAAACTCTGGGAGCACGGAAATTCTTCCCGAGTCGCAATCGATCTGAAGGGCGGATATCAATCCCAAACAGGGCCACCATATCGCGAAAAAAAAGGCGTTGCGAAAATGCAGCCAACAAGAGCCCTGCTGAAGAGATCCGTGTGGAAGGGTGAGTTTCAACTGCTGATGCATTGCGCACTGAATCCAGAGTCATGAGCTAACCAACCGCTTCCAGGACCACACATCGTCCCGTAAGGAGGCCCCCCTCAAGCTGCGAAACCTCTCGATCGAACCCTCGAATCTGACCTTTATTCGAACAGTCTCCCTATCGTGCGGCCCCAGCCTGGTCAGAAGATCACGCCCATCCGGACGCAGGCCCGTTCCGCAACAATCCTGCCCAACTTCGTCGGCCTCAAGTTCCAGGTCTACAACGGCAAGAGCTATATTGATGTAACGATTACCGAAGACATGGTCGGGCACAAACTGGGGGAGTTCTCACCGTACGTGTGCGCATGGAAGTCAGTGGTGAAGCTCATGGACTAATTGATGGCAGGACGAGAAAGCCTTTCATTTGGACCAGGTTGTGAGGTGGGATTTTCGAACATTGTTCGGACAGCGCTCCTGGGAAGGCAGAGGAAGACAAATACATGTATAACACTGTCAAGATAGCAGCGATAAACTTGTAGCATAAGGTGTTGGGGCCTTGCGCCTAAGATGACCCTCCTGATGGGCCTTTGTGTGGATGTCTACTACGTTGGCTCATCATTCTCTCCGTCGCTGTTGAATTGTCCGTTCCTAAAGCAAAACCCCGATCCGCCCTTGATGGTGCCCTGATTGACCCCGAGACGCCGAACCCAGACCATCTAACGCCGTGTTATATGTATATACATCAGCCCAAAGATGCAAACCCCTCTCCTCGACAAACGGCAAGACCGTACCTTATCGGTAGAACTCGCTCCTCTTCACATTGACGCCATACTCGCCAACAGCCATACCGAGATCCTCCATAGTAAGGACGGTCCTGTTCTGGCTGCCGCCCTGTCCACCGCCGCCGTAGCCTGGCCTCTGGATACCGAGGGGCCCACCACGGCCCTGGTCCTTTGCGCCAGCTGGGCCCGTGGGCTGCCCGGGGATGGGGAAGCCCGCCGCGGCGCCGAGGTTGCCCATGGGGTTGTTGGCGTTAGAGTTGGAGGCGCGGATGCGGCTGTACTGGTAAGCGTCGGCAGAGATGTCGGCGATGAACTTTTGTGTGGCGAGGGCGAGCAGGCGCGCCAGGCGGGGATCGGTCTGAGGCGGTGGGGGGAGGCCAGCCTTGGTCATGTAGTAGTTTGTGACTGCATCGGGAATCTAGGAAGGGGGAAAGCGTCAGCCTGGAGCTTCGCGGGCGGGGTATAGGAAAGCAGATGGTAACTCACGATTGGAGCATAGTCGTCCATTTTCGTCAAGAACTCGCGCAGGGACATGTCTTTGCGGGTGATGGCCTTGGGCTCGGGGCCTGGTGCGACCGCTTCGGGGACGGCAGCGGCGTCGACCGGGGCAGCTGCTGTCTCGGCGGGAGCTTCCTGCGTGTTCGGCACAGTGGTGGCCTGCTCGGCATTCTCGGGTGCGGTGCTAGCCATTTCGATCGCGAGGAGTTAGCCGGACAGTCGGTTTTTTGATGATGTTTCTGAAATGGAGATAACTTCGCGCAACACAGCAAAGTCCTGCGAGGCTGATGAGGCTGGTGTTGTATGGTGTTGGTCGCCTTGCGAAAGTAGCGCAGCTATCACGTGCTTACAGAGGCCCCCCTTTCTCCTGCCAATGCTGAGCCACCATTTATCAGCCTCCCCACAATGGCGGGAAGGTACGGTCTGTGCAGTTTCTTATCCCAACCGGGACGTTCCACTACCTTTACCTGCCCCCTGGAGAGGAGGTTCTCGACAGTGCCCATACATTATGACCAGGTAAATATATACGGTACGAAGATCAATTACTCCACAGGCTGTATCTAGAGTGATGTGTATCATATTCTAACCCTTTTTGTCCTAGAATTGACTCTCGTCTTCAAGTCTTTGGAAATGTCTGAAGATGTCGATTTATGTCAACCTAGTCTAAATGACTAGATGTAGACATACAAAGGCAAGAATGAAGAAGATGGTCAGAGAGAATGACAGGAGCATTATGTACGATACATAATATCTAGTACGGAGTACAGTGGGGCGGCAAAAGTCCAACTGAATCCCCAACCAACGTCGCAAGTTATCATACTCAACAACATTTACCCCCCCCCCCCCCCCCCCAATTATATCCCTCGCTAACATACAAAATAGCAGATAGAAACACAGATCAATAGAGCTGCTTTTTCTCTACGAACAAATCTACATGATTCTACTTTTTCATATATATCACTATTGTTTAAAAAGGCAAAGAGGCTGACTTCGGATAGCGAGATTGGGTGATTTCGACATTCGGCGGAACTTTTGCTTACCCACTGTACCTACTGTGTCGGGCGGGCAATGCCTGACCTCCGAGAGATACATCATGATGGGGTAAACCTTTATGTACCTAGTTTCAGTTAGGTCGATACCACCATCGTGAGCAAACCCGAAAGTTCACCAGCATATCTCGCCATCGGGTCTCATATCGTGATATCGGGACTAACGAACATTATGCTTTCAATATTGGTTGCTGACATTGAATGGGGAACATGTCCATGCCATCCAATATACTTGGGAACCTATCATGCGGGAAAGCGGGCGTCTGGTTCCCTCGCTAAAACAAACGCATTTTAGTCTGGTCTCATAATCCATCGCTTATGGTCACTAGGGTCACTAGGGCAGAGCTGGCTGATACCTACATACTGCAAGTCTGAAAAAACCCATCTGCCGTCCCAACTGCCTCTGATTTGGCCTTGCAAACTCTAAATCGAAAGCCGTTGCAAGAGTCGTATCTGCCCGCTTGAAAGTGACCGCTTCTTCACCAAAGTTTCAGATTCCTTCCACCACCAAGGAAATAATGGCTAGCTGCCCATTAGCCATCGGACCGAGATATGCTGCGGATTCTCCAGAAACCGGCGTTGGCCTAATTGCCGTCGGGTCCTGTCATCGAGAAAGATGTGCAATCCTCTCTGAACCCTCTGTCTAGACAGCAGCCATCACAGTTTTGGGTCGGACGTCAAGTTTCCTTTTTGTCTTCGTCAAGCCCTAGTGATTTACTAGTTTATCACCCCATGCTACATACAATATCTCTATGAAAAGGATTCAGTCTCGGCATTCTATGAAGCTGGTGATCTCCACGGTGATTTATAACCCTCCCCAAGATGATGTTTTATGTCATTCGTCATCATGGGCAGAATGGATCCTCCATCGCTGAGATTGCTTTCGCTGGCATTTTCCGATCTGAGAGTACGCATCTGGATGCTCTCGCCTTGCGCCTCATCCGCCCAACGAGCCTTAGGCAGAGGTGGAAGAGGTTTCCTTGAGTCTTTGCGTCCGGCAGCGCAGGCCTCCATAGTGTTCCTCTTCTCCTCCCTCAACCTGCGCCATCTTCGTAAAGTAAAAGTTTCCAACATCAACGTTCGGCAATTTCTTGTCGTGCCAAAGATGATGAAGAGAAAGATGCCCGGTGTCACACCTGGGAGAAAGAGCGCGAAGGTTGCCCTGGCGCGTTCTAAGCTGAAATCTGGTTCGACCAAAATCTCATCTTTTTTATTGTTGCCGATGGAAGCTAGTTGGAACAAGGTGTTGGTGACTTCGAAGATCCTAGAATGAGGGTTGGCATCTTTGCCTTATTGTGACCAAGTCAATGGAATAGAGTCTTACGAGAGTGCTAAGAACGCGATTGTGAAGCGCCCCATGAGCCATCTGTCATAGACACTGCGTGTGGGTTGTGACTTATTCGTAGAAGAATTGACTGTTGTGTCGGCACTATTGGACCCCGATTGACTCGAGGGCCCGTAGCTGACATTGAACGATGTTAACTTCCTCCGTGATTGGACGTATCTCGTGAGTATGGCCAGCATTGTACTAGACCCCACAGCGAGACTTAACATGACTAGAGGAGGTTAGCCTTCGAAGCACACCTTGTCGACAGCAACAACGTGAACCTACGCGGCAGATCTGCAACTAGGATAAATGGAACAAACTGTTTTTGCAAGGCGGGTATGCGCAGTGATAGAATCGTGCAAAGCGGAAACACGACAGCAATTATCTTGCCGGCCGCATTGATTCTGTGTAACATTCGCCTGAGTCTCCCGCGTTCGCTCAGCTTGTAAACTGATTGTGCGAGTGCAATGGCCCTGGGAGAAGTCCGTCAATCGATTGCTCTGCCAGTGATTCCAAGGGCCTTTCCATTTGCATAAATCACTTACCAAAACATAACAAACATTGCTTCTACATTGTAACAGTAGTACTGAATGTAGTACAAAACTAGGTCCATGCCAACCGAGCCATTGGCAATAGCCTGTTCTGGATTATTTGGGTTCAATTTCTTGTTGTTGAACTGATCCCACAGCATGTCTCGCCATGTTATGATATCGTGAACTTGTTGGATGATCGAGCCAGTCGTGCTTAGCAGGGTAAAGTAGGCAACGCATGCAACATCTGTCGTACTGATCAGCTGGGGATTGCCAATTGGGCGAGAAGAGTATCAACTCACAGGTGAACTGTTCGCCATGCGACCAGGTCAACCACAGCAGGAGGAAACTACAAATCTCGCTGATGCAGGAGTATACCATCGCGCCGGCGGCGGCGCCGGCAGCCCCAGACGGAAGCTGAGCCATCTCAGGGACGGGGAGAGCCAAGACGATTGATCCTCTACTATAGTAACCGCATAGCAGGGTTGCGACGATGATCATGAACCGCACGGCCCCTTCAGGAGCATGGGAAACTGCCCTGTTTACATACTCGGCGGATGCCATAACCCCTCCGGAGCTTTGGTCCAGGTGCCACTATTTAGCCTCCTTCCCCCATGGGTTTCGCGGCAGTGTGATTCAGTTATGCACGCGATATGCATGCTACTTGAGCCACACCTGGAGGCAGACATTTCACGTTCCATCGGCGCTTGGCTACTTGAAGAAGAAACCATTCTGTAGCCTGATTTACGGAATCAGCAAGAGCACCCTGTCGCATGCAGCCACACCCGGACATTAGAGACGGTCGACGGTCGCTGCAACTCAATAAGCATGAGATGATTATGCAGGGGCGGCGGAGCTTCCCATTTTCGTTCAGACGGTGGCTTCCCCCACCCAACCCCTCGAAGAGGAACGCCCCAATCCTTCAGCACGTTACACCCGATCAGGCAGCTCCTCCTGTACTTTTTCCATTAGAGCGTGACGGAGTGCCACACCATTCCGGGAATCCTCCGTGGTGAAACGTACTTTTTGCCTGGATGGGGGTTGATGAAGACACACAGTCGGTACGCATAACCTAGGATAACGGGATGAGTCAATTCTTTGCTCTAACATGCAGAAACAGCTTTTCTTTACGACGGTGATGCCAGTCAACCTCGCATGTTCTGTGAAGTAACAGCCATCCGGAAGTGGGAAGTACCTCCGGCGTATCGCATCGAGTGCCGCTGAATGCCAGGAACACGTGTTACGGGCTGGGTCCGACTGCGTCGTATCCTCCGGCAGTAGCGGGAATACCTGTCCTGCGAGCACTTCAAGAAGTACCGGTAGCTGGGTATCTCGGCGAGCTTATGTATACACTTTTTTTTTTCTTTTCTTTTTCTTTTTCAGGGGGGGGGGGGGGGGGGGGAGGTGGAACAGGTCTCCAAAACTTTGCCGATAATACATACATTGACAAAAAACTTATTGACTTTACATCACACCTTACAGGCTGTATCAGCTGATCTTTTCGAGATAGACGTAGTTCAGCCATGGCACATGGCTAGGTTAGCTGGGTAAAGACTCCCAGCGTTACGGTTCTAGGTTGTTCTTCCATATGTACAACCTTTAATATGTGCACTTGAGATGGACGGAGCTTTGTTAAACGAGGTCTCTGCTTGCCGTGGAATGTTTGACTAGGTGCCTGTACTCGCACCCGAAAATTATTTCCGCTGCAAAGTTTTCATTCCATGACAGGCATATGGAGCGCTCATAAGAATAATATTGATGAACGGCAAGCCGCGAGAGGGCCTGTCATCAGGAATCTCCGCTTACAGCCACCAAAGATTTTAGGACTTTATTCACAAAAGTGTCAGTAGGACTCCAGTGCGGGAAAATATCGATTCCAGAATCAAAGTTTTTGGGATCTATTGGTGTGACGTTTTGATATCACTCATGGCGGCTTGGATAACCTTATTTTACTGTCCCTCGTCTCGCGGAGATTTCGAGAGCCATCGCATCTTCTACTTCACTTCGTAGAGATCGATATTTTCATCTCATGATCAGAAATCGTTGAACCAAGGCTGCTATGATCTATTTTGGAAGGTCACCTGCATGACTTGAATCTACACAAGGCTTTCAGATTCGAGTTGCTTCAGAGATTTGGTACTAGGCCATCGTCTAGTCGCCTTACCATGTGCCTCTGGAAATACCCATAATTTCTCACCAATGTCTGTGATTTCCCATCTGTTGGTGCTCACGATGTTGTCGCGAATCGTCACCGCGCCGATAACACCCTGCGTCGTCTGATGGCTAAGACACGGACAAAGTTGTACCATATCTGTGTTAATTGACTTTCGAATTGCTTGGAGTCCTAGGTTTTATGCCCTCGGGAAAGACGATGCCAAACCCCAATTATGCTTCACACGCCGTGGCCCATGATTTCCCAAGTGTTCTATCCCAAATCTCTGACGGAAACATCCACAAGTACACTTTAGTCAAAGCCATTGTAATCAGCACTTCGACTTGCCACGGGCATTTTTACTTTGGTATCGCTTAGCTCTCAGCCGCTCTACGAAGGCACTGCAGGCTTTCGGGGTACGGCCGAAATGAGAGTAGTCCAGCCACATATCAAGCAACGTCCAGCCACCTTGTAGGGCTGAAATTTCCAACCCCAATAAGACTATCTTTTGGGCCACCAGGAAATCGCTACAAAGGGATAAGATGTTCAGGTATTATCTCGCTGGAGATGTTTTATTTTCTCATTCATATTCACACTTCGCTTCCTTTCTGTCTCTCTCGTCTCCAGTCACATCAAGAAACACATCATTGAACGTGATTCGGTAACATGGCCCGAGGACACATCCGCCATGCCAGTTTCGGGTTTCAAAGCCCCATCCAGCTCCGAACTCTGTCTGCTTGCTCTGGGAGTGGCTCTTCAATGTGGTTGTCAGTCAATTAATGGCTGCTATTGCAACACGGCCCTTGGGAGCTCGGCAACTTCCTACATGTCCTCATGCATCAGCAAGGGGTGCAGCAAAGTCAATGACTGGTCAGTCGATATGACAAGCATGCTCAACCTATACGACTCGTACTGGACACTAGGTTGAGCCAATCGGATATAGTAGCGTTGGCTGCAAGCTTGGGTGTCGGAATACCGAGCCTGTTGATTGCAGCTTTGACTCTGTACTTTCAGATCAGAAAGAAACGCAGAGATGCCACTATATCGCAAACTTCTGCCCAGATGGCGGCACAACGAAATGCATACGGGGTGAATACGTCTGGGAGCATACCATCTTATCTTCCTGAGTCGGCAGGTTCAAAGGGTTGGTGATATCCTAAGCTGGAATAGAAAATTACTGCCTGCCTGCCTGAAGGCAACGCATTCATGCATTCATCCGGGCAACACAGAAAGGGCCGTGATCATATGTTGTTCCTGACTTCTCTTTCTTTGTCTTATCACCCGCGGGCAGTCTAATAAGGGTGTGAGTATGTATTAATAGTATAAATCGAGAAATGGGGTGTTGAATGTTTTATGCAAGATATTAAAGACGAAGTCTGGGTACGAACTCGTCCATGTTGTTATGACAAGGGCGAATGGAGTAGAAACAAAGCTTAACTTACCAGTCTATTTGAACGCTGTTTCGTTTCGTTACTTCTGCAACTGACATTGGGATTCGCCCACCACGTCCCAATCGATCTAGGCAGTCAAGTGCAAATCGGCGCGCATCAGGAGGCGTTGAGGAAATCTCGGCGATCACCGACAACGGCCAGATAAGGCACTTTGCTGAAATAGAGAACCGATCCTCGGAAAACTCGAGATACTCGCCGCAGCTTCCAAGTACTTCGACAACAAGACTTGAAATCTTCCTGCTAGCGGACCGTTGAAGCCCTTCATAGTCCGTCTCGTCATCCGGCTCCGGCCCACGGTCGAGCGCGAGTGATGATTGGATCCAGATAACATCGTTGAGGAACATTCGAATGGTCCTGAGCGAGTTCCAGTACCGTAGAACCAGCAGTGAAGGGTAGCGGAAAGACATTCCCTTGTACGATATGGGAGATCGCTCTCCTGGGTGTCTTGCCGTAAATCTCCATTCTTCTGGGACCTTCTGACCAAGTTTTGCTGTTGCCGCATCCAAGTCAAGGGCTTCATATAGAACCTCATGCCTCTCAGAGTCTGTCAGACTGGCGATTCTCGATCTCAAAGTCGCAATACGATCAAGAATTGGAGTCATCTTGAGGAAAGGGTCATCGAGATCGAGGTGCGGTTTGGCATTTTCGTACACCTTCAAAAACCGTTCCGGAACAGGTGTCTTGGTGTGTGCGCAGCTCGTGCGAATGTTGCCGCTAGAATGCACGAAAAGCTGGCGACCGAGAGGCGTGTCAAACTGTCGAGTTCCACGTAGGCGGAGAAGCTCCACGGCGCCGAGCGCATGTTGGTTCCAGGTGTCTAGAGATTGCTGCCCAGAGTAAACGATGGCCTCGAAAAGTCCTAGGAGTAGCACCGCTGCCAGTGTGCTGTCCTCCACGGCGCGTTCTGGTGAGCTAAGAGCTTGATTCGTTTGTGATAGCGCTCTAGCATAATGTATTCTGGCCATTTTCATCATCTTTGGTTCCGATACCTTCAGGGATAAGCTGGCAAAGGATGCTGCTAGTATTGACGCTGACATTGCGTCATTGTTCTGTAAGCCATAGGGACAGAGTCTGGGTAGATACTCAAATGGAGAAGATGCTATGTACTCCTTCGTGAAGTATGTGCGTGCTAGATCATCCATGGGCTGCGAGATGGTTTGGTAACGAACCAGGCTGAATGCCGGAGATGGCTCGGCAGGCGGTGTTTTTGAAGAGACATCAGGGATGGCCAAAGTTCCAGCTACCTGTGTCGTTGCGACGGCCACTGTTGTTGACATTGTTGCTGGCGTCTTGCTTGAACTCGCATGTTGTCGCTCCTGTGAATTTGCAATGGTATGCAGTTTTGATTTCTGTTTTGCCTTAGCGGGCAAACGTCTCCTGGGTTTTCTATTCTGGACTTTGAACGCGGCGTTGGCGGTCTCGTCTCTGAAGTAGAATTCTGAAGGATCCCTGTAGCCGGGACAGGTTATGTGCTTGCGGAGGCATTGGGTGCACCCGGGCTGCAGTTGATCACACTGCAAAACAATAACAAGAAGAAGAAGCCGTTAGCTTTGGCTGACATCTGAGAGGTCGAGCGGGTTGGGAGAGTTTGCGTCAGGCAAAGTCCGCCGCCGTAGGGCTAACGGGCTGGAGTTCGGGCAAACGGCACGAGCGAACCAGTAAGAAAAGGGACGGGATGGAGTACGAACCCTGAGTCTTCCCTCACGACAGGGGCCGCATGCCTCTGACGGACGGCCCAGAAAGACCATTATCGGTTGTTGACCGGAACGTCAGATTCGAGTTGGGTGGTGGTGGGTGCTAACGGACGGAACGCACTGCAGAATGCCCCTTGTGGCAAAGGCGCTTCGGAGATATCACGACACCGATGGGGATGAGGAGTCAGGCTCTACTGATCGTGACTGTGCTTGTGCGCCAGTCACCAGGGCAAACGCAATGTCGGATGCTGCCGGGAGCCCGCACAAAACCCTGGTATTATCGAAACAGGCTCCTCATTTGGTCTAGCCTACAATTTATGAACGACCCCCGTCTGAGCCTCCATGTTCAAAACCCCGCAGTTAATCCTGGTAGTGTGGGAACTTCACCAAACTGTTCGGCAGAAAATCCCCCAGCTCCAGGGATTATGCAGAATCAACTTGGCTTCGCTGGCGATTGAAAGTCACTGGTGGTAGATTCAGCTGACATGCGAGGTACATGATCAACCCATTTTTTATGACATCTGGCATGGTTCCTGACTTTGGCATTTGGCATAAGACAGCGCCACTTTGCTTAGTGTGCCTTGAAGCGTCAGATGGAAGTGGGTGGCCCGAGCCGACCAACAACTCTCCCGATACAGGCTGACAAGGAGGATAAAGTGCTTAATTCCGTACCCATTGCAACGCATTACCATATTTATATTTCAGTACTTTGACGAACTTCATTTCAAATCCATGGCATTCTCGGGCAGCTCCGTGCTGCTTCCATGTTAATCGGGTGATGATTGATAACATGAGCAGACCATGATGAGGTCGGTTCTTTCCATGAAACAGTAGGTGGTCAATTAGATGCACGACGAAATCGCGGTCAGTACACCGGTTGTACTATTTCGCTCAGCCATCCGCTTTGTTGTTATACAGCTAGCCTTCCAGCTTCTTCCCCCCCGGCGCAGACTTGGATTTGATCCTGCAGCTCTCAGAAATCAATCATCGTTAAGGCATTGGTTTTTGATTTAAATGTAATACCTGCAAAGCAATTGAATAGGTGGAAGACTAGGTTAAGTGGTTTTCCTCCCAAAATAGACTATCAACTTGTCTGCACGACCAATGACAAAGGTACACGTACAGATTTCAGAACTCACTGTCAAGGCATTTGATGCATGCGGTCTTGCAGCCCAGATTATATATATTTAAGGAAGATCCAGTCGAGAACTCTATTGTTACTGCGTGCGGAAGATAATATCCATGACCTGTTCGAGTGTGCCTTGAGACTTCCAACAGTACATGGATGAATAGGCAACAAGCAGGAACTCCGCAAACATTTGGCCTGCTCTCATGACAGCCGCGTATACTGGAGACAGGGCGACAGAGATTCCTGTGGAAACACCAATCAATCTCAATATCATTGTGTCGGGATCATTGGTTACCACTGACCGAATCATACGGTATCATCACCGAGCTCGCTAAATGGCTTCTCTTATGAGGGCCACGCCGCCACGACAAGGATAACCGTTACCTATCTACTTTGGGTTGTGGTAGCTTCCTCCCCTCACCAAATACTGATGCCTTATTTTCGTGATTGGTAATGATGTCGTCGTCACCCATGTCAAGCAATATGCATTTGGCCCAACCTGTCATGATGAGGAAGAGAGACTACGAATGAATATGAGCTATCATAAATTGAAATTAGCCGCGAGTTGGTATATTATATGAGCATTATCGATTTCAATCTGTTGTTACTATTGGCCAGCATTCCAGGAATTGCTTTGAATGTTGGTGGGGCAACCATCGTCTTCCTTGCTGTCAACGACAGATAGGCATTCCCTACCACCTACGGAGTACCCATTCGGAAATGGTGTTTTGATGGTGCCTAGTCATCCCTGCCAGCAGGTTAGGCATCCGTTCGCTGCTAAAATATTTATACCAAACAAAGCACCATCCATCTTAGAAGCATCTTGATACACTCCCCCCCCAACACGTCACCGTCACTTCTGACCATTAAACATTCTCACATCTGCCCAATCCTTGTTCTTCAATCACCTGGAAGATGGCCGCCGTATACACCGGCCCGTCAGTTGCCGATATGCTTGCGAACCGCACACTCGCCAAAGAAATTATCGCACGCAATAGCGACCCCGAGCCTATCCTCGACGCAGACGAGCTGGCACTTTTGGAGCAGTTTGTCAACGATCCCAACCGGGCCAACGCTATCCTTGAGTCAAAGGGTCTTGCGGCCGATCCAAAGAACTCAGGCAGCCTGGTAGCATATGTCATCTCCCTCCACGCCACCGATAGCCCCGCGCTAAGCGCTGAAGACATTAGCTCCTTAAAGGCTTGGTATATGAACAACGCCGGAGAGGAGGCCTGAATTTTAGGAACATGTGGTAGCTCAAGATGTGGTGATAACTGGCTGTGATGGAGAGCAGCTACGGCTAAACCAGGAGGAGATGAGTTAAAGGATGCCGTGCACTGGTATGTTTGCCGGCCACGGAAACTCGGGGGTGTGCACAATACGCAACGGTTACGGTACACAGCTTCTTAGAAGATCACCACTGTACGGTGAGACACGCTTCTGTCTAAGTTATCGGAAGTACATCATAGCCGTCTCATTACGAGTAATTAGTCGCGTGACGACATAGTAATAGTTGAGTAGTCAAATATTCTCCACATTGTGTCTACTAGGAATGACGTATAACCCCGCCCCCCACATCCCGACTCGACGCTGGAGACCCGGACTGTCCAGGTTTACTGACCTTCCCCGTAACCGTCCGTAGAAGTCGGCGCCGAAATCACACCGTCCCCACGGCCGCAACGACCTTCCTCATAGTTACATATCAAGTCATTGGCCCCGTGAAAAGCTCATTGAGTCATTCTGCAAAGTGCTTGTCACATCTGAACTTGCATCTCATCGAAATTGAGGCGTGCAGCCCGGAAACTTCAACTCCCCGTTGAAAATTTCGGAACATGTGTTTCAACCCACAATCCAGATACCAAGAGAGAGGTTCCGGAATTAGTATGGGTCATACACAGGAGGCGGATAGGTTATATCTCGATTTGTTTCTAGTTTCTGGCGGAGGAAGCGGGTCATCTGAAGCACTTGAATCGCATTTTGGAGGAGAATCCTCAGCACTGACCCCCACCAACAACAACAACAAACCATTCGTTACTAGCCGGGCGTAAGTGCCGATAGAGCGGATACGTGGTGGTGGGGGAGGAGCCGGCCTTTCAGCCAGGCTATATTGTGGTCCATCCAGTGTATTTGGGGATGAGGCCCTCACTTAAATGTGCACCAGCGTGCGATCCAGTGGGGGCACTTAAACCTCATCCAGCATGTCGGGTGTCAGTATAGTAGTGTCTGCAGGGCTTGCCAACCAATCAGAAAGCACAACTATTGCTCTAACCTTCAACATGCTTATAAACGGCCCTGCTGCCTACCTAGGTAGTGTAGGTTTGATGTACAGGGGCATGATTTCGGCTAAGCTGACGTCTGCTGTAATCGTCGCCAACCGTACTCCCAACTCCAACTCGGTAATTCGGCTAAAGACACAGGCGGACCATGTACTTACAGACGAGTAGGCACCGCGGCAATTCAGTGTGAAAAGGCCACAAGAGGAAACGAGCAGCACCGAGAAAAACATGACAAAGTGACCTGCAAGACTGCTCGGAGAAACACCGGAGTTATGATGTGGCAATGACTCAATTCGGTTGGCTTGGTAGAGGGGAAGAGCCCATCTTCACATCGGGCCACTGAGCCGGCAATTACCAGGTGCATTTGGGTTTGAGTACAAATACCGAGGTCGTGCCGCATTTGGAACAGCATGAGCCAAATCCAGACTACCTGGTCACTAGTAAAGCTTTCAACATGCGTCTTTCTTGGATCCTCGCAACGGCGCTCAGTGCATGTGCGGCCGTCTCGCAAGATACCCCGGAGCCCCAGACGCCGAAACTAACGTATCTATACACTCTTACCGCCCTGCTTAACTCTTCGATTGAGATTGGAACGGGAATGTACAGCGATCGCAAAGCAATACCTATCATAGGCGGCAGTTTCAGTGGCCCTCGGCTGAATGGTGAGCTATTATGATATCTCCTGTCTCTCATATTGGCTTGTCTCTGAGTATCAACGACAGGCACTGTACTCGACCTTGGCGCCGACTGGGGCCTGACGGACCAGAAAGGCGTATTTCATCCTGATACGCGGTATAACCTGAGGACGCATGATGGCGCAAACATCTACATCCAGACGAGTGGATCGCAACAGCCTAACGGCAAGATCTACCTCAGACAGATATTTGAGACTGGCAGCGATGATTACTATTGGCTGAACAATGTTGTGTCGGTGGGGGTGTTGACTTCTGGGGCGGGTAGTGTGACTATCGAGGGGTGGACTCTGGACCTGTGATGGTTGTTTGATCATAAGAGGAGAGGTTGTACGCTGTTTTTCGACCTACTGTAAAATAGTTATGGTCGTTTATTCCGCCGCCATTACAATGGAAAGAAAAGAAGGACCAATAGCTGACTAAGACCATTGCACTTAATTTTAAACCAATCCCCCAACTGCTCTGCCACTGTAGCAAGCTCATAACGAAAATCCGCCGCAGTAGGCAACTGTAATAGCATAACCAGTACTAAGATTTTTTTTACAAAGGTGTTTCAACTCATAAGGTGCCAGCTGTCGGGGAGCGAAGAACAGTCAGTTGGTATTACTTACTTGCGTGCGCTCAGGATACAAAAGTTACAACCATCGTCGTTCGAACCGTGTCAGCTATGAGCACCGTACGCCCCGGCCCTTCCACTATAACAGTCTTCGATGACGACCCAATATCGTATCTACATAGAAAGAAAAGCGCGGCTACTACCCTCTATCTCGCTTCAGTTATAAGCTCTGTCACATGGGCCACTCAGCTTGGGGTATGAGAGAGGGGAGAAGAAACCAGAGCTCCCAGCGTAGTCTGAGCGAACGTACGTAACGTCCCACATGTTCGATGTCTCTCCTTTAAATTGAGGTAACATGACACTATCCCTATTAACCTTTTTGCACAATAATAAATAATTGCCATCTCCAAAAAGATAATCCGACTCAGTGGTTTCGGCCGTAATGCTTTCAACTCTACCAAAAACAATCGGTCTCAGCAAATACCCTCGATACTAGCAGACCATGGGCCAGTGCTCTTTCTCTACTACCCGATCCTATTATCTACCATTTTCTTGCGTCACCATCCGCTCTAGCAGTGATATTTGTTTCTTGATAATTTCATTGAGAAAATTTCAGTTGGAGAACCGTTTGATTGTAGCTCTTTTTGAAAAAGTACTTCATCGTCCTTGTATAGAATTACGCAAATCTGCGTGTTCAATGATCAATGGCGTATCCAATAACAGAACAGCAGCCCAATCAGGTTAACCCAGCCGCCGGAGGAAAGTTACTGGCAGCACTGGAATTGACAATTCTATTTAGCCTACTTAGGTCCAAGTATCCCTCCCAAAAGAATATAGGTGCTGTTGGAGAAGTGGTCCGTCTGTGAATCGGAAGAGGACTTCAAGAAGCGTGGCCGGGATCATCATGGTTTAGCTGACGATAGTATTTTCAACGCAACTGCATGAACAATTGTGTTCCCGCGTTATCATTGATAAGCCGAACTCGTTCCTTTCTCAAGAGTATATGTTCAGCGCGACAATCTGATACCTTTCGACCCGTATATGTCAGCATAATTAGTAGACAGCAACCCTGTTTAATGCAAGTGACTCGTGAGGACCACCTTACGTTAGGAAGGTCTCAGAATATGAGTGGCGACGGCATGCAAGCAACGAGACCACAGAAAGTCCAGCGATTCAGGTCGCATTTCTCAACTTTGTAATTCGCCGCTAGCAATAGCTTCGGATCACCACAAATCGGAAAGGATCTTTACTGATTGATCGGCTCGCCAATCCCATGTAATAACTCTCTTGGTCCGAGATCAACGTTTCCTAACCTCACCCCGTCGTGGACAGACTCCAAGACCGAGCTGCAAACTTCAAAGGTCTTTCGATTGAAATTTTCTGGCGAAGATAACGTTGATCTCAGTGGAAATGCTATGTTGCGTAGCCTAGACCGCCCGTGGTGTCAGCTATGGCTGCAAGCGACCAGGGCGGTTCACTTTTGAGTCATCTAGCCAACCACCAGGCGCGCCACTACACGCACTAATCGGGTTTGTGCAACTCAGTGAGCTCATCCTGGCTGAGCCCTGCGCTATATGTTATTATGGTGTGGTCTAAACTTGAATTCCGCGAAAACCAGAACTCGTCATTGTCCCAGCTCAAGCTAGGTAGTCGTGGGGCGCCATCATCAGCCTCTTGGCCGTTGATCATGGTAAAATTAGGCCTAGACAGTGACTGCGTTCGTCTGTTGATGTCGATTGTCCGTGACGAGAAAATCGCAGGATTTGCCAAGAGTACTAGGGGGTCGTCACACGGAGTATAAAGTGTACCGTGAGTTTCTCCCTTGCTCGTGTTTAAAACTTAATCTTTGGACGTATTATTTGTGCGATTTCCTGGAAGAGCCGCCTTGAAACTCTCAAAATGGTCTTCATTCACACTATTGCAAGTCTAATTATTATGGCACTCGGTGTTGCAGCCTTCCCCGCGCCCGCTCCCCAACCCGAAGCTGCACCTATCTTGGTCGTTGATTTTGAGCCAGATGTGCAGTCGATATCACTTAACCTCTTGCTTCGGGGTTTCTCGAGTGCAACCTCTCCGTCGGTTTCCGCTACCCAGACTCCTGCAACACCTGGCGTTTCGTCGGCGCCTCCGACATCATTCGACGTCCTTCCCCTAGAGACAACAAGTTCTCAGTCAATGTTGCCTCCCGCTCCTTCACCAATCATCACCTGCGAAACCATTCGTTGCATCGATCCCTATGTCTGTATGGAACAAGAAGGCGTGCCTGGTTGCTATGAGAAAGAATCCTGCGGTAAAGTCTTCTGCCCGTATGGAACTAGATGCTGCAACAGTCTCTGCGATATGTGCGCGCCTTCCAACATGTCGTGCATCCAGGGTTGCACCACTCCAGAAACACCTTTGCTGTAAATGGCCGCATGTGCTGGCACTAGTGAACGAAGCAATATGGTGGAGATAATACATGGGGTTGGAGGGTGGAACAGGGAGAACAATCATAGTCACGAAATGTCAGTCAAAGTTAATAGCCGATTGTCTTGAGAGAACACTGTTATTGTGTGCTTGTGCGAACTTAGATACGTACCTCAGTCAAAGTTAGTTGCCCCTGAGACATGATCCTATTAGTTGCTCAACCTAATGCCATCCACCTACTATGTATACCTCGAACTGCCAAGCTGCGTGATTACCGACCCCTGCCCCCTATCCCTCGCACGTTTGAGGCCGTTAACAGGGCTATGTTAGCTTGAATTGTTCTTTTTAGCATTGCATTTCTGTACAATTAAAGTCTGTGGATACCATGGACTAATTACTTCCAAACCATGTAGGGAATCTTTGCCTGAGTCATGCCATCTACTGCCTCCCTTGATCTTCGAAATACCCCACGCTGCAATTATAAAAGGTTGTTGTTGCCCTCTTGGCTCTCTGGTGTCTCTGAGCCCCAAAGTTGTCCGTTCTTTACTACTCATCTTCAGCTGTGAAAAAGCAGCCAGTCCAACTTGGAAAAGAGAAAAAAAAGTCGTTCTTTGCCAACAAATACTCAAAAGAATGTTGTTCATTCGCTCACTCATCGTTTTTGCCGTCGCTATTGGCACCTCCGCTTCCCCGGCCCCGAACCCTCAAGCCGACACCACCCCCGCAAAAGACCGATGCGCCGACGTCACTTGCCCGAAAAATTCGTTCTGCAAAGTCTTCGATTTTCGCCTAGAGAAACCTGTCGGATGTCAAGCGAACGGTACTGTGGCGGCCGATGCTGAAACTTGCGGTAGTGTTATCTGCCCGGTTGGATTAACATGTTGCAACTCGCCATGCGGCGTTTGCACGTCGCCAGGAGTGCCATGCGTGAAATGGGTCTGCTGAAGCACTGAGAGACAGTATCTTCATTTCGGGAACAATATCATTGTCAGGAGTTGGGTGTCGTTCGGATCATACATACAACAGGGCAGCATTACGATACGGGTCCTCTCGGAAATTTTGGAAACAATGCTAGGGATCGGCAATAGATCATCATACACATGAATTCAGTACTAGAAAATCGACCACATCATTCGTTCTTCACTGTTGAGTTGGCAGACACTGATCGCTGGTGTTGATCTCGCTCCGCGATCAAAGCAGTTCAAGTCTGTCTCTGGTGGCTAGCGCAAAGGCAAGACGGCGCTCGGTCATGGAACATCACATTTGAGCACCCAACGCCGGGGATGGAGGTGGTTTCCCAAGAAAATTGAGTTCATGTACAAGAGACTGCTGGCTGTTCAGCCTCCAGTCTGCCACGCCTTGGCGATGGAAGGTGACGGGGAGCCCGAACTGTAGCGTGAGCTATCCCTGTCTCCCTTACAGTGGGTATTCCCATTGATCGACAAACTTACATGCCATATCCAATCTTCTTTTCTTAGTGACTGTTCGTCCCCTTGCATCCTGACTGGTGTACACCGTCACAGGGCCCATCACTTGCCCCGTTAATTTGACTATTTTCTGTGGAAACCAGTTTTGCGACCTAGGGGTCTGTTGTAGAGCATTCGGAAGTCAGTGAAGGAAAGCCAAAGCACAGTTCATAGGTTGACATACTCAGCATGTTCTTGATTATTCCACTGAATCATTGCCCATCTCGGGGCTGTTGTAAGACGGCTGGCTGGCTCCCCATAGCGACGAGGTTCAGGACTACTCAGTCCATTCTCGGAAATTAAGCAAATCCCTTCTCCGTGGTGCCGGTTCCACGTGGTTCAGTACTTTGGCCCCTCCATGGACTCTCAATGCAACTGCTCAAGGCTTGCTTTGTATTACACTATGTAGGCGGTATCTTGTGTGACAAGGTGCTTCCTTGTCTTTCTTTCCGAACACAGTCGGCTGACTTAGGATCGGCCTTCGGAGCATCGCCACAGTCGGCGTGCCAGTTCAGACGGTCAACCCCATCCTCATGAAACACGCATGTATGGACACAGTGGAGAAAGTCTTGTCGTATAACCAGCTATTTCCCCCCATGGCCACTATTCTAGTCACCAGTTTGAGACACGACCTCGCGCCAGTTTTTTACCAAATCCGTCCGTCTATTGTTGGTTATAGGATGAATTGACACACCGCACCTTACCCTATTGGAGGCTACGTCTTTACTCCGGACTTTGACTCACAATCCGAACTTCGGTCTACTTCTTCTAATCGCCCAATTCTGTGGCCGGTACAAACTGCCGGGTAGTTGTCACATGAGCCTCGACTCACCACCCTCGTGTAGTCTGGAACAAGCATACAGGGTTCCAAGTCAGCACCATGAATGGCCAGGGTGACAACTTGTCATATCAGCTAATGTTGTTGAGTTTTTCACATTAACCTTCATTGCACAAGTAATTAAGCAAAACATCTATCGTTCAATTGCAAACAACCCTGTTGTAGTAGTAAACAGTACAAAGATATCTCATTTGCGACACAATCAGAACCGAAAAGACCAAAGGAATGAACCATGTTACTCCCCTTCTCACCCAACCGTTTCAATCATCAGACATAACAAACTACCGAGTGAATTATCCTCCTCTCTGCCTTAGCTTACATCAGTTCTCAACGGACATCCGGGCGAGCGGGTCGCTTAGAGCATGAAGGCACCAAGAGCGAAAGCGCCAGCAACGATGGCACCAGCAGCTCCGAGCAGGCCGTGGCTGCCGGGGGCGACAAGGCCGGGGGCAGCGTTGCCGGTCTGGCGGCCACCGCCAACGATGGTGGAAGTGGCGATGGAGGGAAGACCACCGTTGCCGGAGGTAAGGAAGGTGGTGGTGATGGTGGAGCGGTCGCTGGAACGAGTGCGGCTGGGCTCAGCGGTAGTCTGGACGCCGCCGAAGGTGGTGGTCAGCTGCGAGCTGGCAGTCAGACGGGTGGCGAGGACGATGACGGTGTTGGCGACACTGGTGGAGGACGAGACGTAGCCGCTGGCGCTGGGGAGCTGGCAAACGCTCATGATGCTCTGGATACCTGGAAAGAAACGGTTAGATGAGGTTGTACTGACGAGCACCCAGCGTGACAAGAGAACTTACCCTCAAGGCTGCGCTGCTGGTCCTGGGGGACCTTGTCGATCATGCAAGCATTGCACTGGGGACCCAAGCTCTTCAGGTCGAAGGAGTTGTTGGTGCAGACACACTGAGCGTCAAGCTCATCCTGAGTTTGGTCGCTGTTGTTGTTGGGCTGGCCAAGGTTGAAGTTGACAGTGCAGATGTTGCCAAGGTCACGGACAGGGCGGCAGATGGCAGAGCAGTCCTGCGGGATATCGTTGTTGTTGATGCGAAGATCAGCGCGGACGACGGCCGCGGCGGCGAGAGAAAGAGCAACGGCCTTGGCGTGCATTTTGATGGTTGTTGAAGGGGGAAGTTGTTGAAAAGGCGGGTTGTCAGTTGGAGCGAGTGTTGTAAGAAGCCGAGGCTGCGAAAGATGTGAGAGACGAAAAGGGCGAAAGACTAGCTGTCGAAGGCGAAGTGAAGCTGGATGAGTGTGATCTGATGAGAAAAGGGAAACCTAACCGACGGGCCCGCGATAGGATATTTATGCCCTCGGGCTCAACCGTCCATGCCTCTGTGAACTCTCTTGTCTTTGCTGGCCGGATATCCGCTTCGGCATGCGAGTTTGCCCCCAAGGGTCGAAACGGCCAACGCGCCATGCCCTGACATGGACAAAGAGAGTGGCACTAGGAGGGGGCAACAGGACCATCAACCACAGGGTGGGCTGTGGGTGGCATTGCCAATCTGCATCTCAAAGACCCGAGCAGTCCAAGCCTCAGACCGGGAGAGACTGAGTGACGCTATCGGTATTCCTGAGTTGTTAGATCAGACAGTCCCACCTCAAGCGATGGGGAACTTGCCCGTTGGTAGGCGCAGCACACGAGCAGGACAGTCAAAGAGCCATGCAGCCGTAGAGCAACATCTGCCGAAGCATAACATCGTGAAACGTACTCTTTGCCTGTCACCAGTACCTGTCGCCTCTCTCTCCACGTGAACTGAACGGCGTCGACAAGTGCCTCTGCTCAAACCTTAGTTGCTAGTGCGCCCCGGTACTCACTAAGCGAACGATTGGTAGTTCTCTCGGGATTGTGGCTGCGAGAGGGCCTTATGCAGCAAAGCCAGATGCAAGGCACGAGTCGCTTAGAAGAGGCCCCTGGCAGTTGCTAAATCCGATTGATCCTCCTGAGTATCCATCCGCATTGGGTTGGGTTGGGTTGGGTTGGGGCGATGGACGACCGCTTGGTTCCTATTGCCAATGCCAGCTCGAGGCCCATGTTGATGAGGATACCGTTCCAAAACAAAAGGTCAATATAATTGGGGGATAGGAAGGGTATCTCTTGGCAGCGGGAAGAGCTATGATCAAGGCTCAGGGTGATCGTAGCGAGGACTCGTGCCACCCCCTGCACCAAGAGCACGCGTCAGCCACACGAGCGGGAGATGACGCCAGACATCTACCACGATCCAATCATGCTCCCCAGTCATAACTCAACTAGCCAGTCGTTTGCTTTGATGCAAGGGACACGGCGATGATCCTATGCCCTCAGCACTGCCCTGCCAGACGCAGAGCTGCGGGGGGGCCAAAAGCTTGTCTGCTGGGTCTTCAATTCCAGTCTTGCCTCCTCCGAGATCCTGGCCAAGGCCTGGTCTCTACTGGTGAACCGAATGTCGCTCCCTGTTCTCGTCCATTGCCCCGGCGATTGCCCCTCGTAGTTGAGCTGTCGCGTTTCACTTCCGGCCGTAGCACTGGGCCGTGCGCAAGGACTGAGGAGCGGTCTTGGCCACGCGGCCGGCTTTGTATCTTTGTATCCCTCCAAATCGCCCGGTAGCGATGAGATCTGCTATGCTAAAAGGCTGCTGCTGTGTCATACCGAGATGCCGGCTAACCGGTTCATGTTGGGGTTGGTATGTGGCTACATGGCAGCGGTTGGAAGACCCATCTTTGGGTTCACCACGAATAGAGTCAACTGAGTTGGCTTGATGGGTTAGAAGTCCCGGTTTGCACAAGGAAAACAAACGCCGTCCGTGCCGTTCACTAGGAAGCTTACTGCTGAACCCCCATCGAGCCCGGGTGATGATTACGGACAGATGACAAGCTGGCATCCACCGCGCGAAAGGAGCGTGACGGAGTCCAAAGGATGCCTAACCTAGCCGTACCAAAAAAGAAAAGAAAAGTCGATTTGAGCCTTACTAGTTGATTGATCAAAGCATACTTACTGGCTGACCCGGCTGGGGCATTCCGTGAGTCCAAGGCTCGGTTGTCTAGACGATCCTTAATTAGTAATAGTGACCAGCACCATCGCCACGCCAGCCTGAGCGACCCCACCTCCAGAGATTCGATTGAAATTCTAGCCCTGTTGTCTTGAACCATCTAGCCTGGTTGATACGTCCGTCTCTGAGTCGTCTCCCGGTATTCCCTCGCAGTTTATACGGCCCATCGTTTCGCATGGGATATGATTTGGGTGTTGTCAAATTCGGGCCGAACACCAGCCGCATGAACTCGACTGCTCTGGCGTTCGTCACTCATATAGGCAGAGTTAAGCGCACCCGGCAACTGGTATGTGCCCTAGGCCAATCCTGGGCTCGGCGTAGCATAAGACACTCATCGAGATGGCAAGTTCGTCCAGGGTGTGTGTATTTCACACGTATTCAAAGTCAGAGGGCCTTTCCTTTGCCCAAGCTCTACACCATCCCAAGTCCCAAGATTGGACCTCATACACACACACAAAAGGGAAACAGTCGAGGTGATCAGGTTCCCAAGTAGTTACGTCAATACTTTCGCAGCTACATGCATGGCACAGCAGAAATGGCAAGGCCTGTGGCGGAGGGCATTTGCATGCAGCACTGTGGCTGAGGGCCCGCATCTGTCGGATACTAAAGAAAAGAGTCCCAGGCCGGGGGTAATAAGTAAGACGATTTATCCAAAAGCCTGCTGCATGCTGCACCCCGCGTTTGAGAATCGGAGAGAGGCCGAATTGAACGATTCGAGTCGAAACCTGGCGGAGGAGATTGATCGACTGATTGGAACAAGAACGGGAACCAACTGCCGGGTTTTCTGGACGGAAACAGGGGACTGGAAAGAGAGCTGGAGAGCTTTCGTCCTCAATGCGAGACCGAGCGTCGAGTGTGCCGCATGGTTCACTCGTAGCCAAGGCTGAAGCAAGGGAGCCTGGGAGGAGTAGTCTGGCAGTGGCAGTCAGGAGGAAAAGGTCTTCTGAGAACCGGCGGCCCGTGCTCTTCGTCCTGCCTGGTGTTTTTGGTGCGAGGTGGTGGCTCTCCTTGAGGCGGCAAAGGACCGTGGCTCGGCCTCGACCGAGATTACTCGATGCCGAAGCATGTCAAGGCCGTCTGTGCGGGGCCAAGAACAGATAAAACACAAAAGGCATCACATGCCCGTCGGTCTCTGGAGGAGAACGTCAAGGCGGGGTGGCTTGACCTGGGGTATCTCCGGCGGCCAAGCATTGGTGAGGTCCGGATCAGTGGCCGCTCGCAGTCGGAAGCCATGGCTGTCCGTCAAGCCAGATTGGCGGAGCAACGTGCCTTGGTCCACGAGCCTGGCACTTGGATTTCGGCCGTCCGATCTGCCTCTCGAGACTGCCGCATTAATTCAAAGGATAGATTACACAGTGGATTCGCCAACGTCAGACAACGAACGCCGGCGACTCCAAAAGCTACAGATTTCATTGCTCTATCGACTTGGTAGTGGCGCAGACATCTTGAGGTGAGAATCGACGCAACACGATCTCGATTATACAACCCGTCGCACAATACGCCTAGCCGAGACGCTGACTGAACGTGCTCCTCGGTCTGTGATAGTACATTGACAAGCCTCACTATCCGTCAATCCAACAGGGAAGGAAGTATCCCAGCCAGGATCTCTTCCATCCGCGCTTGGCCGATGGCTCCCGCACTCCCCGGCAGCGGCGACGGCGTCACACCGGCGAAAAGCGGGGGCCGGTCGGATGGTTCCGGCGGTCCGACAAAGCGGCGGATGCAATACCCCGGATCCGACTTGACGGGAATTGCGGGGCGCTCGTCTGCTCCAGTTGGGGGTAACGGCGGGGTCGTGGGCTTTTCCACAGTGGCTCTGTGGACAAAAACAGGGGGCACGTGTCAATAAGTGACCAAAATCCACTTTCCATTTGGGGTCAGACTCACGTGTGATCGAAACCACGTACCGCTGCAGTCGAGGATGAGGGCATTGTGTACGACTGCGGGCTGGTCGGCCCTTAACAAGACAATCTTTCCTCCTTTCAGAGCTACAATCTGGGGGCGCCGCCGGGCCGCTGCCGTTGGCCGCTTGGGTGAGAAAAATGGCCGGGGCGGGACCCATCCGATTGTTCGGACCGGTACTGGCGCTGGTGTGGGGTGGTTGCCGGGGATCTGGTACAAAGTACACAAGCAATCTTCAAGCGAGCTGACCCAAAAGGAGTCGATGACGTTGATCGCAAATAATGCACGATGGGCAAGACCAAAGGCGATCGTGGGGATCGGAAGCAGGAGTGGTCAACTATATAAAGGAACGGGACTGATCGACGACGCATTCTGGTTTAGTTGAGCGGTGGTCAGAGAGGGGTCACCAAGCAAGCAAGAGAGCAAGCAAGATGGAAAGCAACATGGGGAGACAGCCTTGCGCCAAAGATCGCAAGGTGGCAAAGAGGAACGCCTCGCGCCGAACCATCAAGGATGAAAGCATGAGAAAGGCAGGCATTACTGGAAGGGTGACGTGATGCCGGTTCCAGACTTTCCAGATATCTCGAGGCCCAGGGTTCCCTTCCGCACCATACCCCGACTCAAACGTACTCTAACACAGCGCGGTCAGTTGTCAGCAAATGGTTCGCGGACTGTCGTTGCCAGCGCAAGAACACCTCTCTCGCAAGGCAATGGAACGGACCGGGGTTTACGGGCGGATCGCGAGGTCACTTGTCTCGCCCATAGTGGGGAAACGCGTTGGCGATCAAGAGATGCACCAGCGGGCCTGGAACACCAGGGACCCGAGATCAACGGTGCCGAAGAAAGGCAATCTGGAGTTGCGATACCTTCTGGTACCCCTGGTACCCCCGAGCGATCCAATGGGTGGGACCCTAGTGGCTGTCAAGCATTCTGCCCGGGTGAAAAAGTGCGGTTATACAGGTCGTCCAGAACTTCCAGCCAGGAAGGGAGTGTTGGCAGTCTTGAACTGTGACGTCAGGAGCAGACTGGGAGGAGGAGACGGGGCGTTTGCGAGGCATTCCGGGGAGAAGCAGAGGACTCTGGGGAACGGTGGCGGAAGGGTTGCCTGGACTTTCCCACCCTTGCCATGGGTGGGCGCGCCAACGCCAACAAGGGCCGGCAGCAGGCCACACTGTCCGCAGCTGAGGCGGTTCATCCTCGTCGGCCTGGACCTCAAATGACGTGCGCGGCTCGTTCCCATCCGCCGAGCTTGCGTATCGCGAACCCTATGGGCCGGTCTTCAATAACGGAATGTCAATGTCCAACATCCAACAACTCGACGTGCTCGATTAGGAGAGCCGTTGGTGGTGGTGGTGGTGGCGGTGGCGGTGGCGGTGGTTGCTCCGCTCGCGCAATCGACGATGTTTTTTTGACTTTCTGTTTTTTTCTTTCCCTTTGTAGAAGAGGCCCGGAGAGAGGAAACTACTAATTTCGGTCCAATTGCCGACCCAGAAAGACGCCATCAGAAACCGAATTTGAAAGAATTCCCATAGGCGACGGCCATTCTGCCGGTACATGTGGTGGCTGGACCCTGAAGACTGCAAGCAAGGGCCCTGCCTCATTGGGTATTTATTAGGTAGTTTAGCTTGCAGGTCCGTGCCCTAAAAATCAGGGCAGATCGGCGGCAATCCGCCGCCTCCGCCGTCGCGCGCCAACGAAGAGGGACGGCATCGACAAGCATTCGCGTGTAATTGCTCCGAAGTGTACGCATCTGACTGAATGTGCATCGTACGATTATTTACCTGTGTTTGGTCTCAAGGGAGACAGCGCAGCGAAATGACAGTCACATAAGCTCCTCCCAGGGCCAGACAGGAAGGAAGGCCACGACGCAGGCGGCGCGGCTTCAGCTGATGACGTCACGAGGTACTTCAAAGCCGCCTGGTTTACGGTCCGTTTTCCGATCACTCGGGCCTTCACTCAATCTTGAGCTTCCGACAACTTCGACAGCATAAGATCGACTCGTTATTACTACTAATCAATACTCTTTTAAGGGTTGTTGCCAGTATCCATCATTCCGTGTCGTAGGAGGTCTTCGGAATGGTGTGGTATTACAGTATCCAGTCGAGACAACTATCAAATCCGTCCTCCAGAGAGAGGCCTGAAGACCGTGGCATTCAACCACAGCCGTCGCCCGCACCTTGGTCAACGTCGCGATTGGAGCCCGCGCTGAATTTGAAGGTGCTATTTCTCGCTTGTCCGAAAACAAACCCAAAGTTGTCTTGTAACTCTGTGATTACCGGTATAGACAATGGCTGTGTCGCAGCCGACTTGGGCCTCGATTCTTCTCGAGATCTTTCCGACGAGGGTCGCAGCCTCTTCCTCGAGGGTTTGCCGGATGCAAGAACGCTTCTTTTCAACTTTGGTGGAGCTTCCGACTCCTTGTTGACCCATTCGCATACCATGACTTTGAACTTGACCTTCTCGGGATGTCGCTGCCTACTGAGCTTGCTGCGAGTAGCGTACAGAATAAATCTCTTCTGAATCCAAGACAGTGTGTCAACTACCCTAGACTTGACATTCCACTCGTCGTCATCTAGTTCGCAAAAGACCCTGCCGTCGCTCTTGAACATCTTTCTGGGGACTTGTCTCTGTCTGTGTGTACTGGATGGGGTTGTATCGTTGGGTGCGGTAGTACTCTCATCCCGAGCACTCGCGAACGGGTTGGCAGCCTTGCTCGGGGATGGGCTGTCATAGAGAGCGTCTTCTTGCTTGCCTATTCGAGAAACGCGTTAGTGCTCAATCGCTAGGCCTACTGAGAAGGGTGCTTACGCTTGTCCAAGTTTTCGGACACGCTACTTTTGGTCTTACTCAGGACTTCGGGCGGCGGTGGGCCGCTGGCTCGATAATCTTGCGCTTTCGCAAGAGGACGGGAGAACCTTTTTACAATAAGATAATCGATGAAGTAAAAAGTCTGCAGGTTCGGAAGGTGGCGCGCCAGAAATTCGTACAAATGAACGGGGTAGACCTTGTTGATGCCAGCGCCATGCTGGCTACCACAGTGGCTGCAACGGAACGCGGTATTCGCGGCCTCCCAGCCATGGCAATAGGGTACAGCCACATGACGAACGTTGGCCAACTCGGGGCATTCAATGTCCAAGGACATGCGACACCAGCTACGAAAGTTGTCGGCCGACAAGTATTCCAGGCACACGACATCGTTAGAGGAGGCAAGAGACACAATGCGGCCGCCACTCAACTTAATGCCCCCTGGCTGTTTGACTAGCCTTTGGACAACGGCTGCTGCTTCGAAGCAGGTGGCTGACAGTCTGGCCAGGGTGCGGTTAAGGGTGATGTAGTTCGACAGGTTGGCCTGGGGCGTTGGGTAACGGGGCTCCAAAGTTGCGGGCCAGAGCTTCGAGGGAAGTGGCTCGCTATCGAAGTCGAGGATCGGGTTGGGTTGTGCTGCGTCATCGTCATCGTCGTTATCAACGGGAGAGGCAATAAGCGGTGAAGGCAGGTGTGTAGCACGAGCTGCGGTCTTGAGGCGGAGGAAATGCATGCCGGGTTCGAGGATAGCGTCCTCCCAGATCTGGTGGCGGATTTCGGGGGGCAGCATGGAGAAGAGATGGAACGAGCGCGCGGAGGGAGGGATGTCGAATTTGATGGTGGACTCCATGTTGGGTGAATTCTGTCTGGTTCGTGTCGAGTTGGGTGAAAACGACAGCGTGCGAAGGTTTGATGAAAAGAATGGCGATGGCATAGCTTTGGAGAGAATGCTATGTGGTATATGGAGGGCGGAGGGTGGGATATCTGAGACGGAAATCATGCAAGGGTTTCGCAAAAGCCGCACATGCTGACGATGTTGCCGTGAAAGCGAGTCAGATATTGTTTTTTTATGGATGGTCGGGAGATGAAGGGTTGCGTCGAGAAAGATAGTGAATGAATTGTTGGCTGAGCCAGAGCTGCTTCCCAAACGGTGAGAGGGCGGTGATTCACCCGGATGGATGGATAGATGGATGGATGGAAGGAGGGACCAAAGAAAGGACACAGGAAACAAGCAAATGGGAACGCTTGAGGAAAGAAGAGAAGCAGCCAAATCAGAATGGAAGGAGTCATCACGCAGATTTTGCAGTTAGGCTACTTACCGACCTAGGTACAGTGCCCTCCAACAAATCTAAAAAGACATACAGAAAGTGTCACCTAAAATCCACTAAACTCACCATCTTCTACTTGGTATATCTTATTAACTTAGGTACAGTATATACTGTAGAATTAAAGTTACCTGCCTGGTAGTTCGGTAAGTAGGTATGGCCAAGTGCCTTCCCTCCAGAGATTAATCAAGGTTAGGACACGTGCGCGGGAGGAAGGACTAGGTTGCTACTTACCTGGAGCGAGCATCCTCGTGCCGAAAACCGAGAACCTTGACGATCTGCACCACCTTTCTCGCCTCATCGGATGGCCTGGGGCTTGCTGGATCGTTTTGGATGACCGACTTCCCAAGCTTGGCCTGGCAAGTACGACCTTGGCTTCCCGACCCGAGATTTCTCTGGTCCTCAGTCCTGCCTCATGTCGTCGTTTTGCTTCTCGCTGCGCCATTCGTGACCTCACAGGCCCTATCTAACCAATTCGCATCTACACAGGCACCTACCTAGGTAGGTAAGTAACATCAAGACCAACGCGCACTTACGGACAACCGGAGATGCAATATCACGCAATCACTGAGCAGGCAACAACTCGACCAGTGAAGACCAAGAATGGGATTCTAGAACTTGATGTTATACATTGTCGACGAAGAGGGACGTCTGCTCGCCCATTTCCCAGGGAAGCCGTTGTTCTGGCCCTTATACACTAAGACCAGGTACCTAGGTAACTCGCGCAAGGTCCAGCGAACAGAGTACCTAGCCTAACCTAACGTATCCCACAGACAGGGACTTGCTCCTTGTACACGCCCGCCTTTTGCATATTACACCATAGCCATAACTGAAACTCAGACATTATGGTCTTATCCGTTATGCGGCGTGGACGGGTTCAGACTCGTGGGAAAAGGACACCTGGGCGGCGAATACGTCGGCCAGGGCCGACAAATGTTGTGGCAACTTCAAGTTCTGCGAGTTAGCGACTGGCTTCGTAGTGTTATCTGTACTTAGTACGTAGATTTAGCGCTCGTGACTTACCCGCCATACTTCATACCGCAACTGTTGACAAAATCCCTGCAGATGCTCACGGTAGTGCAATCTCCGATAACAGACGGACGCGGTGCGATGGTAGGGGAAGGCCGTGGCGTCGTCCGATGGTCTTGGTCGGAGAGGGGAACCACCATCTGCGGAATGGCGGTGACGATTCCAGCGAGGCCTAGAACCGTCAAGAGTTGAGCGGAAAGCATCTTCATGTTTTGTTGTTTTGCTGGTAGTGGTATTGACTGGCAATATGGTGTTTGGGTTTGTTTGTTTGTTTGTTTGCTTGGGAGATGTGAGATGCGTGTGTGGGAAATGTTGATGGAGAGGGAAGAGACCGAAACCTGCCGCCTTTTGTACACCTGGCTCCAGACAGCAAGGTTTCTGGCAACTGAAGCTATCTCGGGCACCGTTTGTGACTCAAGGCGTAAGGGTTTTCGACAACCTTGGTGGCAAAGTTCAATGAGGCCACCGTGTGGCTGGCAATATAGTCGGGCACCCTGTCATCAAGCTGTTACAACCTCAATGGCCGATTCAACGGTACCATTATCCCCACCAACGTTCTAGCGCCTGAGTGTCGTTCGTGTATATGGCCATGGTTGAAATGCGGTCTGATTTGGCAGTTGCTCTACCTTGGCGGGTATTCAATACCGTACTGAGAGATTGAGACATGGCACGGGTCAGAGGTGCTACGTATCGGGTTTCCACGCATCGGGATATTGCATATGTGCCGGGTGAATGTAGCCCGCTTATGGGGACTTGGAGCGACTATAGCTCTCATGATATATATTTGTGTAGTCGGCTGGATTGTTGTAGTCAGGAGTATTGTGAAGAGAAAGCTACTTGTAGTGACCTCCGTGCCTGCCATAGTCTGGCAATAGCCATCAATATCCCTCAAGATTATCACGAGGTTATACCTTGACGAGTCCACCAGCGAGCTTGGTTCATGTGTAGCCCGAACGCCGAGTAACCTTTTCCTCTAAATGTATGTCACCCTCTGCCAGTCGAGCTAAGGTTTTGTATAACCATGGGCCTCCGTGAGCGCTCATTGCGCCATCAATTGCATACGGCTTCTTTCTTATGGCCATAGGAGAGCCGTGGCTGTTGTTAACTTTACGTGTAGACGACATCCGTTGCTAGCTGTTCATACGTAATGCGGCGGCGAAGTCTCCACGTCCCACTCAAGGCATTGTTGCTTCGTCTAGTTTGCCACCGGGTTGAAGCCAGATGAGTAGCGGCCAGCATCGAGGCGCCATCCCTCATCGGAATGTTCCAGCGAGGAGAGCGCGCCAAAGGAAACACTCACAGCGGAGAAGAAGGGACATCGAAGCAGTTTTGAACATATGTACATTGAAAAGGTTGAAAGACGCCCAGTTGTAGCGGGTGAAAAAAAGCGCACTGGACGCCTGTAGGCGGTGCTGCAGCCACATATATACGCCGGGTATAAAATATTTACATGATGGTTGAGACACAAATCAAAGCCAGCTCACTCATCTTCTGGCCAGAAAAGAAAAAAGGGGGGTGCGTGATGGATGTCAGTCACCCAATGTCTGTCGGACGGGAAATGCTCGCCGCTCACAGGTGGAAAGCGGGAGCGCGACGACGCCGGAAGGAGCGAGCGTGACGACGGGCCTTTTGGGCGGGGCAGTCGCCAGCGTCGGCGTTATCGGAGGTGACCGGGGTGGCAGGCTTGGTGGAGTTGGCGGGAGCCGTGCCATTGATGATGGGGGTAGGGGCGGAGCCGGAGCCGGAGCCAGGACCAGAGCCGGAGCCGGCACCGGAGCTGAAAAGCGCGGGGCCGGGGATGGTGTACTCCGAGATGGTGGTGTACGCTGAGCAAAACCGTCAGCCGTTTGCGGTTACCGATGGCGCAGGGGGCTCAAGTGAGGGAATCCACTTACGGTTGAACTGGATGCCAGAGTCAGTGGCCTTGTACAGCTCCGTGCCGAGGGTGCCCTCGGGGTTGGCAGTACCGGAGCCAGTGATCTCGACGTTGACGCACTGGGGGTAGTTCTGGGCGCCGTTCGGGGTGCCGGCGGCGTGCATGGCAATGATCTCGTGGCGGAGGACGTAGTTGCCGGCTGCGAGGTCCGAGGGGATGGTCGAGGTCCAGGTGTTGTTGTTCTTGACGAGCTTGGTGGCGGCCCACTCCTGGGTGTCGACGTCGATCCCGGCCTCGTCGATTTTGACCCACTTGAGCTTGAGCTTATCGACCGAGGCGAAGTCGCCGTCGACCCTGGCGGCGTAGGTCAGGACGGGTCCGAAGTGAGACGCGGGCCAGGCGGACCACTGGAACTCGACCTTGCCGCCGGCCGCGACCTTGGCGGCGGTGCCTCCGGGGGCGGCGTTCTTGTGGCAGTTGATGTCGGCGCTGGCGTAGCCGGTGCCGTCGACGAAGCCGTTGTCAAGGTTCTCGGCCGACCAGGCGGCGATGGTGGGGGGAGTGCCGCCGTTCTGCTTGAGGTAGTAGTAGTCGAGGCTGTAGCCCTGGACGTATGCGCCGTCGAACATGTAACCATCGACCTTGCCATGGGCAAGGGCACTGGCGGCAAAGGCACCGACGAGGGCAAGGGTTGACTTGACAAAAGGCATTTTGAAAGATGGGTGCTGGGGGTTGTGTCCTTGGTGAAACGGACGAAAATGAATAAAGCGAGCCCTGTTTGATCGTCGGATGTAAGTGTTGCAAAGGAATGTCCCGGCTTCACACGGTGAAGAACTGACGGTAAGATAGTTGGAAAAGAATGAAGTGGTGAAGATACCAAAGAATGTGTGCGACCTGCGATGATGGATGCTAAGCTAGAAGAAAGAACAAATGTGCGACGGATTTGCCTCTTTATTTATCTTATCGGAAGAGACCTTAGAAAGACACGCACACTGCATCCCGGAAATCCTCTTCCTCCGTGATGCTCCTTCTCCCTTCCACCTCGTCGCTGCCCTGGACAGTCCGGTTCTAGAACCCTTGCAGGCGCCGAGAACTGACCCGCCTTGGCCCCCGGAGGCCAGCGAGAAGACTGCAGGTGGAAAATATAGAAACCACATAAGACCGAAACACTCTTATGCAGACCGGACCAGTGGGACTTTGGGGCGGTGGCCACTGGGCCGGGGGATGTGCTCCAATTCGGAAGGCGAACCGGCCTTGGAACGATAAGGTGACGGGTTGTCAGCGTAACGTAGCCGCTTTGGTTCCTAGCCCTAGCGTACCTAGAAGACATCTGCTCTGGCCAAGGGGCCGATGTTGGGATCATGGCCAGGGTAGCGCAACGCGGGAATGGTGACGGCCTCGAGTTGAAGCTGGGGCTCGTTACCGGCCGGTTGGTTTTCCTCAGCATCGGTAGCTCGCAAGCCGAGTCTTCCCCAGTGCTATTGTTTGTACCCTTCTCAGCAAGCACGACTCATCAAACAGATCCCCTTGTCGCCCTTAATATGGGAAGGGAAAATCATAATAGGGTCGGATCTGCGTTGTCTAAAAGACACCCGTGTCGATCGCTTGGTCGAGATGAACCCGCCAAGACAGCTGCCGCCAGGCCGTTTCTTCTTGATGCGCCGAGGTTGACGACCATTGGCGAATCTAGCTCGACTTGGATCCATTCTGCGCTCCGCTGTCAGTTGGCAATCAAAGATGAAACGGTGCTTGCATATCGTCGCCCGCCGGTGCCGTGCAACCGCCTTCTCTGCAGAAAGCGCCATTCTTCGTGATCATTTTCTTCCCGTCTTATTCGTACATGGGAAGTGACGAGTTTGGTTCGTGAGGCCGACTCCTGCAGCGTTTCACCGCTGGACACTTCCTGGTTCTGGCCGCACGCAACATGTCATCTTTGCAGCTCAGGGCTTTGTCATGGCATGACGATTGCAAGAAGAGCACCTCTTGCCCAGCTTCCCATTGGCTGCCAAAGCCATATTATAATACTGTTGGCGATAAACTCTTCGATTGAACTATCGAGGCCCCGACATCTTTGTCACATTTGAAAAGCGCCTCCTCAGAGCCGCCAGTTTACACAAACCCCTGGATGGCCTCCCAGAACGCTGCAGGGTCTTCCCACATGGGTAGATGACCAGCGTTCGGCACAATCTTCAGTTCTGCTCCGTTGTCTCCAACCAAGTCCTTGAACCCGTCCATCGCCTTGACAAGCGCGCCCTTGGCGTCGCCGTCACCAACGACCAGCAGCCCAGGAACCTGACAAGACTTGAGCGCCGACTTGAGGTCGTAGTCCCACAGTGCCTGACAGCTATACTTGAATCCTTCAACGTTGTTATCTGCTACCATTTCCGTCATGGAGTTGACGACGCTCTCCTTGTCCATCGTTGCCGGATGAAACCACCGGCCCACCGTCTGCCCTGCCAGCTTTTTGATTCCGGCGCCACCGTCCTCTTCTGCCAACGCGGTGCGGTCTTTCCAGGCTTGAGTGTTGGCAGCGCTGGACGTCGCGTTGAAGTCGCAGGCGATGAACTTCTTTAGGCGGTTCGGATACTTGAGGGCAAAGTTAGTGGTCGTTGCGCCTCCCATGGAAACTCCAATCAAGGCGTGCAACTTGGGGATGCGCAACGCATCAAGAACAGTACGCAGGTCGGAAGCAAGGAGATCCAGAGTCGCCGGCACAGGCGGACTAGGAATCGAGTGGCGGCCACGCGTGTCGTACCGTAAGATGCGCAAGTCGGGGCGCTGCTCCTTCAATATCTTGACGACGGGGTCCCACATCTGCAGCGATGTCAGGAGCGAGTTGCAGAAGGCGACCGTTGGCGCGTCATCTTTGGCGCTTCCCTCTAGTCTGTAGGGAATGGACAGTTGGTCCTCGGCCGTGATATACGAGCTGATGACCTCGTCGTCTCCGGGAATAGTGGTGGTCTTGCCGTCCGGAGCGGTAAACGTGGAGGTCGAGGCCGGAAGCTTGGCCAGATTGGACAAGTCGCGAGGAGCAGGGCCGAAGACGTAGAAAAGCGAGTAGGTGCGGCGGTTCTTGGCCGTGACGGTTTTGGCAACCTCAGCTCCCCAAGGAGTGGTCATGGAGGCCTTGTGCTCCGGACCACCCAAGCCATTCGTGCGCGCATAGTCGTGCAGTCCGAGGTAGGAAGTCTTGGTTCCGGCGCCGTCGCCGACCGATGAGATCTTGAAGAGGCGGGTCCTTAGCCAGCCAGGGACCTTGGACAACATGGGGATGTGTTCTTCGCTATACCATTTCTTGAAGTCTGGCTCGGCGGATTCGTCCTTGAGGACGGTCTCGACAGCGACCAGCTCGATTCCCTCGGCCTCCTTGTCGGAGAGCTGCTCGATGGGCAGGAACAGAGGGGCCTCTTGCTGGTAAACCAGATCGTAGAAATACCTCGTGACGTCGACTTGGGCGATGGTGGCTGCCTCGCGGGCAGAGCGGTTGGCTCGAAGAGTGGTGTAGGTGGGCGTTTCGAGGTGGGACATGGAGGTGACGTCGTAGAGAGCGAGAAAGGAGGGCTCTTTGGCGTCGTTGGCGCGGTATCGCAGGCCGTTGGTGAAGATTTGGGGAAGCCGCAGGCGCGTTGGGCCGTGCTCGTTGTTGTACCATTCGTGGAACTGCTCGAGAGCCAGGCCAGGCTTCGGCTGCATGGTCACGTAGAGCAGTCCGGGGGTTGCCATCTTGTTCCTTGTGTCAACCGACCTTGTTGGTGAGGTCCGGGGCGTTATCACTGTTCTCGAAGAAGTACTTGGTCGAAGAGGAAAATCGGGTAGAAAAGGCTGACAGATGCTCCAAGAGAGGGCGGCTTCGGCGCGCTCCCGTGGGAAGCTCTCTGGGCGGCGGGGCAGATGACGAACGCGGGGTCGGAATTGGGGGAAGAGGGCCCAGTGGGTTTTTTCGGGATTTTGAGACGGCAAAAGACAGCGCAGAAGAAACTCGGTGCCGGTCAGTGACTAGGTACGTTGTACCCACAGCAGAGGACAGGTAGGCTGATAGACTCTTGTGGATGAAGCGTCGGATCCTACCTATAGGTCTTGACTAGGTAGGTAGTTGCTGCTTCTGGAATTCGGACCGTTCTCGTAGACGAGGTACATCTATGGAGCCCGCCCTGTCTTGGGGGGTTATGCAGAATAAATAGAAATATTGTCGCGGTTCGTGGCGGAAAAGCATTCTGCCAGAGCATCGCGTGTGATTGATGATTTTTCCAGACCGGGTCAGCCAATAATGAGTGGTGTCGGTCACATCGGGCCAGGCTGTCTATCCATAAACTCGCACCATTTTCTGTTTACTCTGAGATCCGACTGACGATTTGCCTTCGACATGGCGGCGACGCATTGGGTAGGGAAAACCTGGGTGAGAGGCAAACTACCTAGGTAGGTAGGTAGGTAGGTAGAGGAGGGAGGGAGGGTGACACCTTTGGTACCTACGTATGGACTACCTATTCAGGAACAGGGTCCAACCCCTCGTGATGTTCCTTCCATTCTTTCCAACGGGAAATATGTAAATTTCCTAGGTAGGTAGGCAGGCAGGTGTCTAGGTAGAGTAGGTAGTCGGTCCCTCGCACGTATTCGTACCTTCTCTCGGGTACTACCTACTCATGCCGTTGAGAATGCGCGCGGGCACTTGGCAGCCGTTAAAGATTCGACCAATCACCATCCAAATGCTCCTCCTCCTCCTCCTCCTCGGGACCCACCAAAGACCAAAGTCAATTCGCATTCAGGCACGGATATCGACACCGAAGGTAGGTAGGTAGGTTCCTACCTGGAAAATCTCCCAGCGCGAGGCTCGATTCTGAAAGGCAACTACCTCCAAAGCTCCTTATTGGTTCCTTCTTCGCCTTCCATCGATTCTGGATTCTGATCCCAAAACCTCCGTTAACTTGTGGTTGCTGTCGACGGATTGGCAGCCACTATCACCGACACATACTCCATTCGCCTGGTATTCCACCTGCCTACCTGTCTTATTTGTTTGTCTGCCGCCCGCCCAGCTTTACACGGATGCACACATCACACAGTCCCAAGCTGCAGTAGCTTCCACCCCTCCACTCAGCATTGGCTTTTCCCTTTGGCTGGGACTGACTCCTACGTGCGCAGGCAGATAGGGATAGGGGCCATAAAGCCCCCGCAATCCCTGCTGTACCACGTCGCAATCACATGGCGCACGGTCTTGGGCAGCATTGACGCTCTGCAAACCTGCCCCCAGAGCCTTTGATCGCAGGCAAACATAGGCATCGTTGCGATACTCTCACTGCGTCGCCCATTTTGTCAGACTACAGTTATTATCGGCCTCTTGCCCACCCGCCGCGTGATCCGCCTCGTCGACTCCCTATTCTACTACCCAGCCCGGCCTCCCACATTAATCATTCCATCGACCCTTTTCCGGCCCGTCTTTTCCTCATGGAAGTCTTCCTCTCCAACGTCCCCCCGCGTCTGACGGACCGTACCTTGGAAAAGGAATTGAAGCCCTACCTGAATGCTTTGGGTATTCTGGACTGGTCATGCTCGTCCAAGACCGGCAGCAACCTCGGATGGGTGACCTTTCTCTACTGGGAGGATGGCCGCAAATTCTTGCTGCGCCATGGGAAACAGCCCATAGCCACCCCGGAGGCTGCGCGCATCTTCACATCGCCAAATGCTTCCAGAAACAGAAAGGGCCCAAGGGACAAGCCAAATCTCCACCTCATGAACAATCCCGTCTTCGTCTCCCAGAGCGACAGACCACCCGACCCTTTTGCCCTCAGAAGCCTCAGCCATCGTCTGCAAGAAAAGTACAAGCAGCGCAAGCAGCAAGACGCCTCCTTTGATAACGGTACCGTCAAGTTCCACGTCGCGAGACTGGCTTGTGGTCACAACTCGTTTGGCGACGGTAACAAGGCCCTCATTTTTCACGAGCAGTACCGACTGGACGACCGGGGCCTTGCCAAGTTCGGCAAACGGATGCTCACCCTGAAGCTCGACCAAGGCGCCAAGATCGAAATACCTTATTCGTCCATCGTCGAGATGATACACAGCTCGGCACCGACCACCTTTACCTTTGTCTTGAGCGAACCCCCTCACTTCTACCAGTCCTACGCCGAGATCCAAGATATGATGGCTCAGCTCGGTTTGAATCCTCGCATGCTGCACCAGAAGGCCCAAGTCCGCTGTCTCGGCATCCCTGGCGTCGAAGAGCATGTCAAATATTCCGGCAGCTGCCTTGTCTATCAGCTTAGTGTCTTTGACACCGACTTCGACCACAATATGATTCATCTTGAGAAAAAGGGCTTGCTATCTATCGCTCACTCCAATGTTGCTCTTAACCAGACTCCCGCTTTCTGCGAAGAAGACTACCCTAGTTCATGGACTCAATTCTACAACGCATTGGCTACTGCTGGAAAGAACGAGACACTGCCATTTGGCATCCTCTTCCAGCTACAGTCTCTGGTGTGGAACAACTTCCTACACCCACGCTCCGTACACCAGATGCTACTGTCTCTCCGAGTCATGTTCCAAAGGGCAAAAGTGGACAACAAGCCCGAGCCAATCTCAGAACAGGCTTTCGAAAGCCTTCGTGGGAATATTCAAGATACCATACCATTCCCATGCCATAACGCGGACCCCAAGAACCTCGACCCGGACGAGATTCTACGGCATCTTTTAGTAGTCGAAAAACGCCTACGTTCCGAGTATGTCTACAGAAAAGACGCGTTAGGACCTGCAACAGCAAACCACCGCGTGCGGGTTTTCAAGGCCATGGTTACACCAACGAGAATTACACTCCATGGCCCCGAGCCAGAACCCTTGAATAGAATACTTCGCAGGTTCCCTGACCACACGAGTTATTTTATGCGAGTTACTTTTTGTGATGAAGATGGCGGCGATCTGTTCTTCAATCCCAGGGTAT